ATGAGTGGAGTAACGCCGCCGCTCTGCTGATGAATCCATGAAATCACGGCTGTCCTCCAGTGTTTCCCTGTGACTTAAACGTCACATCAGACCTCATTAGAACTCAGGTGTGTGATGGTGACATTTCTTGATGATGAAGTACAGGATGTTCCTCAGACTGGATCCCGTCCAGCAGAGCACCACACGCAGGAGTTGCATGCTGATTTGCATGATGTTAACCTTGGGTCAAACTGAATTTGCAAAGTACTTGGGTTTACCACATTGTGACACTGTGTTTGATAGAATTTAAATATTTAGTTACATTAACATTACTTTGCTATAATTATTTGCAGTTTTTGATGTATATCCTCCAGCTATGCACATCATATTCTGCATTCAGTAGTTACACAGGCAGATGGAAACTTAAAGGGCTTTACTATATCTTGTTTCATACTTGATGAATAATATGACTATTACTAATAAATGCAGAAGAGTAAATCTCTCCTCCTCTAAGCTGAGATTTTATTTGTACTGTCTGAGGAGTTCCAGTCTCTAGCTGCAGGATACTGTGGGCATTAGTGCACTTCAACGTTAGCAGGAGGAGTACAGCGTTGTCTGTTTTGCTGCATCATTGCTGCAGTGTTCCTCTCCCGTTTTTCATTCTTTATCATAGTTTTACACACACAATGCTACCTTATATTTATGATTTGCTTGTCGTATAGAGAGGGGGTTGCTCCTTCTCTATTGTGTTTAGTTCAAAACTTTAAAGCTCAGATATATATTCTTCCTTTTGAATATAATTGTAGTGGCTTGGCTCCACAAGCTGTGGTATTTACAGTAGCTTTAATTAGCCCTCAGAATAATAGCAATTTCACAGCTTGGTGACAACACTGGGATGATAGCTTTCAATTTTGGTGATGGAAGCCGTGGACAGGTAGAGACAGGGAGCGCTGTTGGGAGGCTGCCACAGTAGTCATTTTCTCAGGGTTGCTGCTGAGGCCAGCTCATTTCTAGAGGCTTGACAGGCATTACTCATGCTTGGCTCTCAGGCTGGGACCCCTGCCTGCTGCCGGATCAGATGGGGGGGTTGATTGGGAGCCACAGATCACCTTTTCTATTAACCCAGGTTTTGATTATTTTCACTGACTTGTGGCACAGGTGATACAGAAGCTAGCAATACTGCAGCCCACAAAGAGTAGGGTAGCTTTATGCTGTTCTGGCCCCATTCCCACCAGCACCTGCTGCAGAGCCAAAGCCAGCCTATCATGCTAATTTGGCCAGCGTTATAACTCTAAGGACGGCGTGTCCTTGCTTCTTCTCCTTTAGAGAGAGTAAACAAGCCAGCTGGAACAGTGTGCCAGCATGCGTGCCCACTACTGAGGAATTGCAGTTGCACTTTTCGCCTCTCTCCTTCACCCCCCCCCCCCCCCCCCCCCCCCCCCCCCCCCCCCCCCCCCCCCCCCCCCCCCCCCCCCCCCTCCTTTTTAATTATCTTAATTATGGAATCTGCTGCCAGTGGCTGAAATGAATTGCTCAGCTCTCCATCCTGCCAGCAGCCATTAAGGGCGACCCAGTTCCCTCCGGCCGCGATGGCGTAATGCTTAGACAGGGAGAAAACGGAAGAGATTCCAACGCTGTCATCAAAATATGCCATATTAATGCACTCGAGCGATGCGAGATCAATCTGTTCGGCAAACACAGGTGCAGTAAAAATGAGCTCTGGAAAGCATCAGGAGGCTGGCAGTGAGCGAGAGAGAGCTTCTGTGTTTATAACTACTTTAGAAATAAAAGTGTGATATTTCCGTTGCGTGTTAAGCAGCTTTAAAAGTGCCAAATAGCTGCTTGCTTGCTTTGGGATCTTTCCTCAACAAGTAGCCAGGAGCCCTGCTGTCTAAAGAGAGACCTTTAGCATTGGCTGCTTAAAATGCTGCACTGGACTGTGCTCCAGACTCAAAGCTTTTATAGAGTCAATGTACTCAGCTGCAGAAATAGGTGTACAGCTAACAGTGGCTGAATTGTAGACAACTTGTGGCAAGTACTTATGGGTAACAGCCTCACGGTGGCCTGACTGTACAAACAGCTTAATAAAGTCTGTCCTATGTCCTAACTGTAAAAACCCATAACCCCAAAATAACCACAGAGAGAGCTATTTTGGAAAGCTGCTGCTCTTTTTACACTTGGCACGTAGGCTAATGTAAATGTTGTAGTTCCAGTTTGGTCCCACTGCTTTGATTTCCTCTGCAGACTCATGAAAATGTATCTGCTCAGGTGTTTGCATTAAACCTGTCCACGTCTTAAATGATGACTTGAAGATAGCCGGGCAGCTCTGCCAGTAATCTCCTGCCAACAGCCTGTAACCAACTGCAGCACAGTCGTCCTTAATGTTATGTGACGGAGGCTCTTTGTGCGACAAGGTCGATCTGTATTTTACTTGCTGTACATCAGCCCCGTAGCGTAAATGAATAGGATAATATATTTATCAATCTGCTGCTGACGTGGCCAGAGGGAAAAGTGTTCTTGAACCAAGTGCTGCTTTCACAAGGACCAATGACTCAGCACTGTTTTAATGCCACTTCACAGCTTTATTTCTCAACTAGACAAGACATGTGTCAAGATCAGTGTTTTTAAGCTGTGGTTATAAATGTCAGCCTTCTCCAGAGACGAGCATGTTAAGAAAGCCTGTCAAAATGACCTTTGTAACACTTTTATGTGAAATGGTGTTACATCTCTATTATAATCATCACCAAGTGTACAAAGGGAAATGGTTTTAACAGCTGAACTAAACACATACTGTCAGATTTTAATATTACAACAATATTGTAGATTTGACTGGTGGTGCTTTCAGGAAATATTTACACAATGAGAGTTGTGATAAATAATCATCAGTAATATGGATATGATCATTAATTGGGTAAAGGCAAATATTACAACAGCTAGAACAATCTGATAAGTTCAGAAAATTACATCACGTAGTAGTCGTAGTAGTCTTGTTATAGCCTTGTTATATTTATCTTTTAGAAAAAATGTACATTTTATGCCCTCAATGTCAATTTTTTACCTGCGGTATCGAAAATGGTATCACATATCTATGTTTTTAAGGTATTGTATCAAAATTAGAAATCTCAGTAATGTGACATCACTTGTACCAGGTCAGTAACTTCATTATTTGTGGCCTAACGGGTTACTTAAATGGAAAGCACTGTTCATGACCAGCACATCTACTGTATGATATTTTCCCAGTGTGTGGGTCCTGGTCCTGGATGCTATCCGAGGCTAACGCAGCAGCTCTTTATTTGATTTAAGAAGTTTACACTTCAGCAACCCCAGCTCAACGTGTTATCCAAGACAGCCTTTTGTTTGCCAAAAACATTACTTAGTCCTCAACCTTAAAGCCTTTTCTCTGGTAACGTTGAAAGTCAAACATACTGTTTGAAAATACAAACAACTGCTTGTTTCCCTGTGGAAGCCAAACAGGGTTATAATACAATAACATAAGAGTCTGTACAATACTATAGTACATATACAGTATAGCACTAGAGCTAACTCCTGAAACTACATAGCTAGCTTTAGCTGATGACATCTGCCAGTGACAGATGACATTTCAGCTGATAAATCAGCTGGTGTAGGATGATCTGCTTTTGTATCCCTGTCTAAAATCAAGTGCTCATTGTTTCAGAATAACTAAGAATATAGAGTGGTAAATCTGCCACCATTATCACTGTAAACTGCACACTTGCTGTGGGAGAATAGAAAGCTTGACATGTGTATAAACAGAAAATAAGTAGGTAACTAATTACAGACATTTCTCATGTGAAATACCCCAAACTGTTCCTACTTTGGCAGAAGATGTTGTATTTATGTGGAACACTGATTAGAAGGTATCTTTTTAAATAGGTTTTCAGGGCCTTTACATCCAGTCGACTCTGTGCTGTGGATCTTATCTTGCAGATAGTTGCAATGCAACACAGAGACCCAGTGCTGTGTTCTGTGCTCAGTCCCTCTGGCAGCATCCCCACCCCACTCTCCTCCCACTGACTCCTGGGCTAGTTATTAATAGGATGTGGATGGGTCTGTCTGAGTGAGGAAATCAGGTTGCCTTCCTGTAAATATTGCATGATTTCCCTCGAGTCAGCCTGGAATGCCAGAGAGGAAGATGCAGCAGAGAATTATCTCAAGTTTTTTTCCAAGGTCCCGCTCCTGATGTCAGGCAGGGACTTAGATGCTCTGAAGTCAAGTTTGGACTTCAGATTAATCCGTATTACATGTTTGTTGAGTTTCAGCCCAGTTATTTTTAATCGCGGTGGAACCTGGCAGAGAAGCTCTTCCCTGTCTGTCAGTCAGTACAAGGTGTGCACCATACCTGAGCTGCTTCAAAGTTTCTTTAACTTTCCCATGACCGCATTGTTGTCATGTTTTCTGTTGTTACCCTGGAAGGCTGCCTGAACACATGATGTTTGTTTAGTGTGAGCTTCCTTGTGTCTTCAGTTGTTTTGCTGTTACTTTAATACAGATAACTCAGCCTGAAGGCAGAAGAGTAAACTTTGTGGTTACAAGGTGTCACTTTACCCACCAGTTTAACTTGTACAAAACAGTAGCACATACAGGAGGTGATGGCTGGTGCCTCTTCTGGTAGATGAACTTGATGTTTATGTGTTGAGTTTGCTTTTCTAGTTACTGTGGTTCTTTTACCTGCAGGAGTCTCATGACCCCTGCTGTACACTCACACACTGTTCATTGGCACTGTGTGTTTGAATGTATGCCAGTGACAGAATCTTAATGTGTGAAAATCCATAAATCTTTTTGCACTGATTCACTGGGATTAAATTTAAATAAGTCTCATCAGATATTGTCGTAATATTTCTGATAAAGTACAAAATAATATCAATATTGATATCGATTTAGGCCTGAAAAATCCTGTATCATTTGCGCTATACACCAAACAGTGGTAAGAAGAACTTCAAATTACGACTTGTATGTATGTGCACAAGGTGGTCTCACTCTCAGCTCTTTGCCTCCATCAGGTCCTGTGGTTTACGTGCTGGACCTGGCTGACCGGCTCATCTCTAAGGCCGGACCATTCGCTGCAGCTGGCATCATGGTGGGCTCCATCTACTGGACTGCTGTCACCTACGGAGCTGTCACTGTCATGCAGGTGCGACCGCTGATCCCTCCTGAGAGGTTTTGGTTTTATAATAGGTCTGTTCAGTCGAGTTAAGGTTCTGACTTTGACTGTACCTTTGTGCTGGCACATTAAATCATAGTTTACCTAAAAGCAGTTGTGCAAGTTGTGTGTGTTTGTATGTGTTTCTGTTTCAATGTTATCCATGTTACAAAACTACAAATAATACGCATGCCACAAGAGCCTTTTTGTGCTCTTTCATTGCTCTTTTTTCATTCTTTCTTTCTCATTTAAAAGTAAGAGTCAGCCAGTTTGACTCCTATGCAGTACTTTTCCATTCTGACCGTCCCCTCTGCTCTCCAGGTGGTGGGCCATAAGGAGGGCCTGGACGTTATGGAGCGGGCCGACCCTCTGTTCCTGCTCATTGGCCTGCCCACCATCCCTGTCATGCTGATCCTCGGCAAGATGATCCGCTGGGAGGACTACGTCCTGCGTCTGTGGAGAAAGTACTCTAACAAACTGCAGATCCTCAACAGCATCTTCCCAGGTCAGGACACACACTGGTGTAGTTTTCAGAAATGTATTCATCCATCTTATGCTGCTGTAAAGAGCCTTGAACTTAATCAGATGTTGCTCTCGTTGTGAGTTGATACGGATACAAACTGTAATGTATTCAGCAGCATTGTGCGACTGTACCCAGAGCACAGACTCTACCGCTGGAGAAAATGGTCAGTTAATAAGATGGAAATTAAAAAGCACAAACAAATATGTTCGCCCAGCTTCAAAGAGCATTTTATCATAATATGAATCCATTTCAGAACCAGAGGTAGTCTCAAAATGGTTCCAGACAATGAGTCAGAATGATCACAACCTCTGATGATTCAAAACAAGTTTCAAACACAGGACGTGAGGTGTTAGTAACTCAGCAACACAAGTGTTTGTGAGGAATAGTTGTCTTATTCTTTTTAAAACATCACACACAGTAACTTTGTGGACGTTACCAGCTGTTCATCTATCACAGGACCCCTCGCTGTCACTGGTTTACGCTCATTTCATTAGAGTTGTAAACACACAACACCAAGCTGTTGAACTAACGACTCTCTGCCTATTAGATCAAATTTACTCTCAGTTACAAATACATTCACGTATGTTTCAACTGGCTCCCTGCTGCTTCTCTGTGCGTCTCTGCAGGGATTGGCTGCCCAGTTCCTCGTATCCCAGCAGAGGCCAGCCCCCTGGCAGACAACGTGTCGGCCACACGGATTCTCTGTGGCGCTCTGGTGTTCCCCACCATCGCCACCATTGTGGGGAAACTCATGTTCAGCAGCGTCAACTCCAACCTGCAGAGGACCATCCTGGTGGGTACAAGCAGAAACTCTTCGTGCATCCAATACAGGAAATAAATAAGTCACAGTATAATGATCTAGTGTAATGGAGCCGTGTGTGCTGCTGTTTATGTGAAGATGATTGATCTCCTAATTTGAGGGGAACACAGCAGTGATGCAGGAATAACAAATGACTCCAGTTCAGCCAGTGTTACCTGTGCAATATACCAGTCTTTTGTACATAAGAGACAGCCAGCCTCCTCACTCACCTACTGCTGAGGACAGACAGGTAACCAGAGTGGCTCATGTGATACCACTGAACACTGTCCTCATTTGCTGAGCTCTGTGAGTGACAGACAGACAGAGAGATAGACAGGCTGCTGCTGACTGAAGGCTCTGTGTTTCACTCTGTTTCACCCTTACAATAACGAGGAAGACGCCCTGGTTAGAGCCGGTTATCCAAACATATTCAAACAAACTGAAAACACATTCTTGAGGGACATTTATTACTTTGTTCAAAAGGAAAACTGGTATAACAAGGGTTAAACTTGACAACAAACATTAAAGGCTGACTCAGACTTTTTACATTTCCAGTTCCATTACATTAACAGTATTTAATGTTTTGGTTACTTCGGCGTCCTAGTTTCTCTCTTTACCTTTTCACCTCCTTAGTCATTTCTGCTCTTTATGTATATTCAGGATTATTATTTTCCATCAGTATTGATAATAGGAAAACAAAACAATAGATAAATAAATATTAAAGCCGTAAAAATGGTTCAGTTTAGATGAATTAATTATAAATATTTGCGATTCTAATTAAACAATAACCTAACTGCTTCTAAAGTGCAAATATCGGAGTAAGAAACATTCATAACAATACAGATTGTTCTTAAACAAATATATTATTCAGCAGACAAACCAAACAAAGTTGGCCAGGTATGGTGACTTTATGGAGTCTCCCCTTGTTGCCTGGCAACCTCACTGTGACTTCAAGACTTCAGCAGCCCGGTGCACCAGCTATACGATTGTTCTCTCTTAAGTTCGGGTGCAAAGCCCGCACTAACAATTCATGGGAACTAGCCAGTCTGATCGTAAAGCTGTGTCGATGTTAGGTTGCGACTAAAAATAAATTAAACAGCTAAATAATAAATTAATCACCAAACAAAAAGGTACGTGAACTAGGACAAAGCATCATGACTAGGTGAAAAACAAGTGGTGAAACTGTCAACTACAACATAGGGTCATATAACTGTAATATATTAATGAGCAGATGAAATTGTAACATTATAATAAACACATAATGATAGTCTACACTGGTAAACTGTAAAAAAAAAATGAGTAGCTGTTAATTAGGAATTAACCCTGTATATTTGCTTGCCAATGTGTCACAAAGATATGTTATTGCCCATGTACTTATATGTATGCACTTTATTTTGTATGTTTATAGACACTCCCATTTAATTTTAAGAATTTCTATTTATAGTATAAAAGGCATGAGATCACCTGTGGGTATAATCAATCATGGAGAACTTGTTGCTCTGCATAACAGCTGGTATAATTTGCTTCTCCTCATCTTCCAAGTTATTCAACCTTTTAAAACGTGCCATGACAACTGCTGTTTTAAGGAGGACATTACACCTACTAAGCTCTAGGTGTAAGATTTTAGATGTAGCTATGCCTGTGTCAGAACTATTAAACCCTTAAAATGTTTGTAGCATGTAAACTTAAACCAGAGTTAGAAAGTATGCTAAACTAGGCTATGTTTAAACTTCATAGCTGGTGCAGCAATAATTCAGCACAAGATTCTCTGTAAAAACAAACTGTGGTTTTGCACTTTGGTATTTTTACAAATGAAACAAACAAGATGACATCACTACCTACAGTTAATAAGATACTTATTTAAACAAACAACACATATAAGAGGGGGTAATTAGTGATCTTAGGAGTTGCTTTTGCAGTATGTGGATTATGTTGCCTTTGGTCAGAGCCAGGCTAGCTGTTTTCAGACTTTATGCTAAGCTAAGTTAGCCAGCTGCTGGCCGTAGCTTCAGATACAGACATGAGAGTGGTATCAATCTCCTCATCTAACTCTTGGCAAGAAAACAAATGTGTATTTCCTGTAGGGTTGAGAACGATTAACCGATACGACCGGATATCCGGTTTGACAAGCGAGAGATACGGCTACGTTGGTAGCAGCCTCCTCAATCGATACGAATCAGCCATGAATCCTTAGATGAATCGATTGTAGAGTCATGGATCGGGTATCGCGAGACTAGCAATCGGTTGACTGGCTTTAACAGTTTGCATCTCGAAAACAACACGAGAGCCAGCTACTCCGTAGCAGGCATTACTGACAACGATAATGGATGTAAACATCAGCGCCAGCTTGACCGGTGGAGCTGAGGAACAGAAGCTAATGTTGGTTGGATAAACCAGGGAGCTGCCAAGCCGCAGCAGAAACAAAAGGCGAATCCTGCCGGTTGTGGGTTGAACGCGGGGTCACAGACACAGACAGAAATACGTATTCCTGTCAAATACGACAGCACATGATAATGGCTTACCGGCGACCGACAAGCCCGGCTCCAGGTCCAAGAAGTCTTCGTCTGTGTCTTGACTGCCCAGAAATACCAGCCAAGCCCTGGCAGCACTCGGGTATGTGACGTGTCAGAGGAGAAATGAGTAGTTCACATTTCCACAAACCTCACCGCACTTTAGGGACTGTTCTTTACTTGTCAGGGGAAGAGGGTGGCTGGTTGATTTTTATTTTATTTATTTATTTTATTTTGATCCCCCTTATGTTAATCACTTATTGATGCTGTTTTTGAAGTATGAATAAGTCAATAAGTAATTTATTCCATTGAAATATTATTGATGTATTATAGAAAAGTGATTTATCTTTTTATAAATGACAAACACAGAGTGTAGCAAACACAGAGAAATAGTCTGACATGCTGTCAGTGATAAGCTGCTAGTCATCACAGTCCATGATATCAGTCAGATTCTGCCCCTACATTGCATGTTATTATTTTATTCTGCTTTATGTTTGTATTGTACAGCATTATAATAAACTTTATTCCAGACTCAAGTCCATATAAGATACATACAAAAACACAAACAATACCATAAAAACAACACAAGTAGGTTTAAAACACTTAAATTTTACTTAAAGTTCACTTCACTTAAAGTTTAAAACTTCTTCTCATTTTTATATTGATTCCATCCAACAAAATGATGTTCATTCAGTAAGTCTTTTTTTGGTCCATGTCTAAAAATAAATACATTTGACATGGGATTTTGTTGTTGTTTGTCTTTTTATTTTATTTTTGCCAGTGCCATACAGCAACAATGCTTGGGGATGTGGTCTTTTACAAATTTGAAAATACTGTAAGAATGTCATTTTTATAGAATTGGCTTCTTTATTTTATAATATATGATTAATGTCTACATCAACAAATGTTAACCATAGAATCGTATCAAATCGTATCAAATCATATCGAATCGTAGCGTTCCTACACTGTATCGAATCGTATTGAATCGTTCTGTATTAAAAATATATCGTTTTTGAATCGTATCGTAACCCATGTATCTAGATACGTATCAAATTGTCTATCACAGAGAGATTCCCAACCCTAATTTCCTGAGATGTGGAACTGTTTCTTCAAAACAGTTCAAAGTGTTGGTTAAAGGGAGCGTCCACATGCAGCCTGTCTGCTGCTTTATTCAGTTTGCCACAGGTGAGCTTCCTGTTCATGGCAGCTGCCACACATCAGGGAAGCAGGTTGAAGATTTAAAGAGATTTTCCACACCTTCACACTTTCCACATTTACACTGAGGCTGCTCCTGAATGAAGACAGAGCTGACTCTCCCTTTAAGCCCTCTTTCAACACACTGTGTTTTTTTCCCCCCTACAGGGAGGCATCGCCTTTGTGGCCATCAAGGGGGCGTTTAAGGTGTACTTCAAACAGCAGCAGTACCTGAGGCAAGCCCACCGCAAGATCCTCAACTTCCCCGAACAGGAGGAAGCCTGAGGAGGCCCCTCAGTCCAGATGGATGACAGCCGGACACACCGCACACTTCTGCCAGAGGGGGTGAGGACATACGAACTGTCAGACTGAGAGCAGGAAGTGCTGGTGAAACAGACTTAGGATCAGTGTCACCCTTACCACCTACTCCTCCTTAGACCTCACCCCTTCTGGAGTGATTCATCGCACCGTCGCTGACATTCATGCAAGGATCCTCCACCGCCGCCACCACCACACATTGTTTTTAAACCTCTGACGCTTCAGTAAGGTGAAGACGGATGAGACTTGTGGATACAGACTGGAGCATGTTCTCAGTCAGGGTGCAGTTACACACATTAACACACAGATCAAGGACTGTGCGACTGTAGGGTGGATGTGCTTTATCAATCACGTAACTAATACTTATTGTAAACTTACTGTATTTTAAAGATTAAAAAATGCGGGGCATGTGTAATTAGAAAGTTTTATAATATAATAATAAATGACTGTTTTATAATGTTTATTTTGCAGATTTGAACCCCCTTTGCCAATGTTAGGGGTTTATTTTGTGTGAGAAATTTTGGTCACTGTGCAGATGTATTAATGATAAAACAATAAAATGTGTTGTGAATCAATATGCAGTACGTTAACTACAACCAGGAAACATTAAGAGAAAAATGTCACTCTAAGGAGGACCTAACACACTGACCATATATAGAAACTTTTAGACCCTGAGTTATTTGGGGAGTGTTTAATTTTTTCATTAACATGCCTTGGCAGTGTTTACGCTGATTGTTTGTCGCTTTAGCTCCATTTCACAAAATGCTCGTATGTGATGTGTTTCAAAGCCTCATCACCCGGCACAGCACCCCAGGTTTGGTCGATCCTGTTGCCATGACATTGGATGGATATTATGGATGCTCATGGTTCTCTCTGAGCTTGTCACAGTGACGGGATGTCGGACTGGAAAGCATCTGAAAGCTTCAGGCGACTCGTGACGTTTGACGCAGCACTTTTTACTTGGAGAAATGAAACTTTGCTGACTGACAATACAGTGTGGACTTTTATTTAAGCTGCCACTTTTTTTTTTTTCCTCCCCCCAACATGTGATGATCAGTCTGTTGTGTGTGTCTGTTGCCCGAGTGTGAACTGTAGCTCAGGTCAGACTGCGGTTCGGGGGTAATTACCATGCAGACATAAATGAAACTTGGACACTGGTAATTGAAAATGAGTCACTGGGGTGGTTGACATTTTGGCAGGACTCTTGGGAAAATTAAAGGGCCACTACAACCAAAAGACAAGTCATATTTTCTCACTTACTACAAGCAGTATCCAACAATGCAGATGGTTTTGGATCTATTTGCCCAGGGTTTTTTCATCCCTGCTTACACCTCAGTTGCTTTTACATATATAAAAATGTTTATTTGTAATTTGGAACATTTGGCAGAAAATAAATGTTTCGCAGCAAGATCTTTGGTACCTCCACCCAGAAATGGGGACCATTTTTCAAAAGACCCATTTCTGTTATTAAATGCTGCTCCTACAAAATAAGAGTGCATTGGGGTTGCAATGGAAATCTGAAAGCCTGGGCAAATTAAGTTCTGTTCTGCTAGTGAGCATAACACTACGTTATAGTAAATTATTTTGAAACACTGGGAGCATGATGTGATCAACAGTTTCATTTTATATGGCACTAAGTTGAGAACTAAGCCCTAAGTTGCTATTTCCTGCTCCTCACAAGAGCCAGGAAACATCAGTATGACGGTGAAACGGCGTGACGTACAGCCGACTACTTGGAATATTTAACCTGCACATATAAACTGTGCCTGCTTTACACGTGTCCTCCCTACAACCCGCACACCACAGCTTCCCCACCCGGTACATTCACTGTCAAGTCTCCACTCTGCCAAAAGAGATGTATGAAGTCTGTGTTGTACGGATGTTGACTTTAGAGTTCTATGGTATCAGTTCTGTGAATAAATGTATTTTTCCAATGTTGAAGTGCACGTGTTGAGCTTTACATTAACAGAACACACACACGGTTCCATTCAGTAGTTTATTAATTAGAAACACACAGGAGACGATAAAAAGAACAAAATGTCACCAGCCAATCCGTCTCTCGAGTTGCCCAAGACATTCGGAAATTAAAAATATGCTTCTGATTTTCTAAATGTAAACCAGTCACTAGGTACTTAACAGTGCATGGCCCACACAAGCCTGATATGTAATGTTGCTAGTTTCTTTTAAACACGGCTTTGTCACCGTCCCCAGGTCCCCTGTCAAGCTACGGGCTGATAATAGAGAATAACTTAATATGCTGCTGCTGCTGGTTGTCTTTGGGTTTCAACCACAAGAGGGTAAAGCAGTTGATGATCACTAAAAAAACTGAAATGGTTTTGATGAGGCTGAGACGTAGCAAAATGCTGGAAAACATTGAAGAAGCTTTTGATACAGCACAATCATATCTCCAAAATCATTCTTTAAACCTGTGCAGCATCAAATGAGGGAACAATGAACTAGGCCTGAGAGCAGCTAAGGTGGGAAGGGGGAAATGAAATCATAACTGATTTTTGGCTGTTTGGACAGAGTGGCAGCTCCACCAGCAGAGGTTTGACACAGCAAAGCTGGTTAGCACCTGAGAGAGAGCACTGTCCACACACCAGCAGCTGCTCAGAACGGACACGGTCCTCTCTGCGCTTTGAGCTGGAGCTTGGGTGGATCCGGCTGCTGCAGCTACTCAGCAGTGCAGAGCCGCATCTCACTCTGCCTCACACTGTTCCCTGTCCGCATCATTAAGGTTATTGCTTAGTGAGAGAAGTGCATATATTCAGTCAAAAAAAATTCCAGACTGGAGCTTTTCTTCAACCCCCCTTTAGACATCAACATGGAAAGTTTCTGTTTAGAGAAAAAGGCTAGCTGCTTTTTTTTTTTTTACTCTGCTGTATGAGCCAAAGCACAGTCCAGCAAATTTAGGGGGGTTAGATCCTCCAGGATTCTACCCGGGATCAGACCAGGAGCAGCCAGATACAGAGTAACTGATGGCCCCCCTGGAAAGGCACAAGCTGCAGAAAGTCTCACATGCAGACACGGAGTGAAAGAAGAACGACAATCTCCCTGGAGCTTACAAAATGAAAACAAAAATACTGTTGCTGTTATTTCCTTTCAGTTTTTTTACAAAAATAACTTGGAGAAGACCAATAAGGATTTGATCACATTTAGTGATGTGAACAAAGTACTAATGACAGATTGATAAAAGTGTTTTTATTTTGAATCGATCACTAGTAAAATTGAATGTTAAAAAAACAGCATATAGGTACCCCTGAGGTGTCTGAATTACATACTACTGTAAAATGCAATAAAAAAAATACTAAAAATAAAAACAACTGTTGTGGGCATGGCTCTCTGTGATTAGCAATTTCAAACAGCTCCTCAAAGGGTCCCAACATTTTACCACTTTACAAGCAACATTTCAAAACCTGTGAGGATTAAAACCAGAACTCTAGAGCAGATATTCTTAAGAAATGCATCGATTTGAATAAAATAATCCATTTGAGCGAGTCGTGGTGCTTCAGAGAGTTACATGGAAAACAAACCAGTCCGACAAATAAATGAGAAGACCTTCATGGAGCTCTTTAACTTCTACAGCTCCCAGTGCATCACAATAAACCAGCTATCCATTCTCAAAGCAGCATGTCTGAATAATTCAAATAAAACGCCTCCTGCTGTGAAGCTTCTGTTCTGCAGTATACTCGAACTGATTGAAAGGGATCTGGCCCTTGTCTTTTTTTTTGTTTAAGGTTGCTTCTATTTCCTCTACAACAGCCTACACAGTACTGTGATGCGTGAGTGTTGCGTCTCCTTTTAGAGACTTAGAACATGAGGTGAGTCTGGTGCGACCTCTATCCTTATCACAGCTATGTCGACAACCACGGCTAACTTTTTGTGATTCAAAATAACACGCATTTGTTTCCAAGCATCTCTTCTAGTGGCTCCAGCCTGCCACACGTGCACACACGCGCGCATTCACATGCACCCACGCAAACACACTCACGCAGGCTCAGTCGGATGAAAGCCGTCCTGGCAGGAGGAGGGGAGGAGGAGGAGGAGGGGTTAAGGTGGGAAACAGAGCGGGGTCGTTTGCCGTTGCCCTCCCTGGCGCCTCCGTGCTGCTGCGTGTCGACCTGCTGGCCTCGCTTACAGTTTGGCAGCCATGAAGTTGATGTGAGGCTTGACCAGGGGGAAGAGAGGCAGGCTCCTCTTGAACTCCGTCATGTCCTGAACCAGTGTGGGCTGCAAACAAACAAACAAACAAAAAAACAAAACAAAACACAGTGGGCTGGTCAGACTGGCGTTCGCACTCATGTCAGTTTTGCTTTGTTCAGTCATTTAAGGACAAAGTCCTGCTTAAACTGCATTTAGTGCTGATACCAGAAAGTGCTACATGCACACTGTTTCCATGGTAACTACTTAAGGAAACTAAGGAATACTCTGACTACATTGTAGGTGCTTCAGCAAAATTGTCTTCCTCATGCCTTTGTTATGTTTTCATGCATCAGGAATCACTTCTTCTAAAAAGGTGTGCTTTGTGGATTAATACACATTTGGTGCTCTGGTGTGAGTGTTAAAAGATAAATTTTCTCCCTCTTTTTTTTTTTGGTAAACCTCTTCCTCAATTCCACTGGGCCGCCAGGATTCTCCGCCATTGTAACTGTCTTCCAGAGGCTGTAGCAGACAGAGTGCAAAGCCATGAAACTAGAAAACCTAAGGATCCACTGGTACCAACCATGCCTGGCATAGCGTGTCTAAAGGAGGGTTAAATAAGGCTCCAAAGTAACATTAAATTTTGGCGAGGGGAAAAACTAGCATGGCCATTTTCACGGGTGCCTGTTGAACTCTCAACATAAGATATCTGAATGAAAATAGGTTCTATGGATACCCACAAGTCTTCCCTGTACAGACACACCCACTCTATGCTAGACCCATGCCGTTTTTCTCATGCAGTACAAATGTAGTGTTTTCAACCTTTGAATTTGAATATTTCTGCACACTGGGCTCCCTTAACAGTCTTGGTATTGCATAAATTGGGTCTGACTGGAAAGCTGAGACTCATGTGAATTCAATGAGCCCAACTGTATTCATGTGTGATGATGTTGGCCCCCATAGCCATTTCATTGTAGCAAGACCATTTTTTGCTGTATAAAATGACCTATTGTGACCTCTGGGATAATCCCAGCCTCATGAAACTTAACTACCACAAACTAGAGAATTGAGAGGGTGTGTGGCTTTCATAGGTTTACTAGCAATAAAGGGGTTTCTCAGCAGTCTCCAGAGCAGCAGCGCTCGTCATCCAATTACTGAAGTATGCAATTCTCCCAGAAATCTCAAAATTTGAAAAGTTTTTAATTCTAAATCACAGCATGGATTTTTCTGTGGGGTACCTCTAGGACTTAGTGTCTCAGTGTGGTATTTTGTAGAGATCTGACCATTTTTAAAAATTCTCTAGTGGTAGAAAATGCTTAAATATAACACCCAAAAATTGCTGCAAGAACATTGGAGACATAATTAAGCATGTGAATGGCCATCATATACGTCCATCATAATGTTCTAAACCCCTATAAACTCTGACCTATGAAGTTTGAATAGGCACCTAACCAAAACAAAATGTTTTTTACAGATTTATAACTAGAAAAACTTCACACAGTGCTGAGCTGCATTTCAAATTAATCCTCAATTTCCCTGGGAAGGATGGAGCAGAAGAGGTTAATACTGGGTGCGGCTTTCTCTGGACAGGATTCTAAGATATTAATGTTTCATGAGTTTTGGGAATCAACTTTATTTTTCTAATTTCCTTTTGGACTCAAGTTAAAAATGTCATACACCAAAAATCTGGATAAGGTGAGTATGTCTCAGTAAATAGAGAGCAATAATGTAGAAGCATGAATTAAGAGCACGATGATTACCTGTGGCAGGGAGGGAGCAGGGGCCAGGTTGACATCATTCTGAGCGGGGAACTCTCCCACTATTGGACCTGGTTAACACACACAGTGATGCACAGGTTAACCTGACACTGAATGAACCCACTGAGCGTCTAAATGAAGCTCCATGACACCAACATGTGAATCCAGATACTCACAGGAGTCCATCTCTCTGGACAGGACGTGCACGGACACCTTGTGTCTCTTTGGAGCTTCTACTGTCAGCCGTTCCTGCGGGGACACAGACAGACAGGTGGGGTGATGCACGGAGAGCGGCAGGGAATGTTGTTGTTAAGCGATTCTTTTTTTCATGACAAACAGCATCATTACTGTGACCAAAATTTAGAATTCATCCAATAGTTAAATGCCCACATCTTGTTAAAAAAAAAACGGAGAGCAGCTGGAATGACTCATCACTAAAACTTTTGCCACCACAAAAGAAGAAACTCTGTGTGGCCTGGATGACCGTGTGATTTTCACAGTGAGTCTGGGATCAGTTATGACAGCCCTGTGGAGACACAGTCAGGCCTCGTCACTGTCTCTGGATGGAGGATTATATTAGACTGAAGATTTGGCTCGTCTGCAGCCAGACAGCGTCAACCCCGGCCACCCGAAATGAAAAAAAGAAAGAAAAAGAAAATGCTTCTGCGATTGCCGCTGATATGACATTAGAAATGCATTAGGTTTATTCTGCATGGGGGCCTGTAATAGTTTCTGCTGGGCTGAGATAATGCCAATTCTTTCAGCGGCTATGTGTCTTTGGCCCCTTTATCCCCCTTGAAACAGGCTGGCTGGCTGTCATTATGGCAGCTGATATGCTGTGAGCGTTCTGTGTCAGTGTCACCTCCGCGGCTATGAATAGAAGCAGTAGGCAGGAGGAGATGAAAGCTGGGAGGGCAGACTGAATCCAGTAAAACCATGTGTGTCTGGACACACACACACAAATGGATTTAGAGGAGGTGGTGTGCTCATGCTGTATACTGGGCCGACACACTGCTCTTTTATCACAAATGTGGTGGTTAACCAAACCAACCAATTATCTATGGTATAAATTAAACTGGAATGGCTCAAATAATGCTTGAACAGCTGGTAAAAAAGGATACATTCTCATCAGTGGTACCCTGAGATGAAGCCTGCCTCATCAGACCTCAAGGTGCTTATGTAGGTTTATTTAATTGTATTCTTGAGCCTTCGATTGTATCACTTTTTCTTGATCAGCAGACGGTGGTAATGGAATTTTTAATGTTCAGATTTCCAGTATCTGTTTTTCCTGTATAAACTTTGGGTGACCAAGTCTTTGAAGTGCTCTGGGAATAAAAAGCAAAACTGTACTGAATTGAACACCATGACAAACTCCAGTGTGATATAGTCAAAAGCTCCAGAACAGCTACTAAATGGACCTTGTGTAGGGCTGGGTATCAGTACTTGATACCTTAAAAGGTATCAACCAATTAACCCAGAACCAAGTTGTACTGAATCTTCTCCAGACAAATGATATCTGCATTCAACCTGCATTTTGTACCCAGACATAGAAAAAAAAAGGACTACCTGTATGGTAATGCTCACAGCTTGACACCACAAAGTGTTCTTTGATTTAATGTGACATGTGATTGGCCCGCTGCCACAGCAGCTAGAACCCCTGTGGTGTGGTGGAGTGCGGTGTATTTGATGAAGTTGGCTGTTCAGCGTGCCAAGATGCCACTAAAATGTTCTAAAGTATAGCTGTACTACACGCTTGTCACATCCTGGGGCATTTTATGCAACTGAATGTATCATTCACATGATGGGTATCAAATGAAGAAAAAAAAAGAAGATGTGATGAGGAAGAGGGCTGGCACAATATCCAACTTTCACTACACAATTATCGTGGCTTTCACAATAATTATATTATTGCGGTATCTATAGAAAATTTGAAAAACCAACCATAAAGAAAAGTTACTTTAAGTTAACTTTGTGTGTTTTGTCTCTTTTTTTGGCAAATGAATGACACTTACAAAACGAGTGTGGGGAGGTGGGGAGAGAGTGTGTAACCATAACTACAAAAATCATACAGAAAGTTACACTTAAGGGATACTGAAAAGGCAACCAGATGGCTTTTGGGGGAGAGAATCAAAGCGACAATGGAAGACATAGAAACTACTTAACAAGAACTGGATTATTTAAACAATAATATCATATGTGTATCATTGTATTTACATGATATCAATATTTAATTTTTTAAAGACACAGTTATTGTCAATACTGGTATATCATGGCTCGTGTAGTATCAAAGAACTCTGTTGGTGTCCTAATTTTTTAAATGATACCCAGACCTAACCTTGTGGTCGGATTGTTTTCAGTTTCCAGGGTCAAGAATGAACTTTGAACCTCAAACAATACACTGTCCAATACCAGGCTGTGGTTGTTAGTCCATGTGTTGAATGAATAAACACACCAATGACATAATGTCTGGTCAGCATGTCCAACACTAAAGAAATCATTTCATGTCAACTCGTATGATATAAAATTGTGTTCAAGCAGTGTTGTCAAACAAAGGTGATATGATACTGTGCAATGGCCTAACTCTCCACTCTAACACAAAGGCATCAGACATTAACAATAGACTGTGTCAGGTCTAATTTTCTCATTACAGAATAGTCACTATAACATTTAGCCTGTCAGTTCAAACGCGCATTTAACAATGATTGATAGACCTCTGAAATATTTCACGACTCCTCCATGTCATAAAATGCAGGCTTATTGTTGTAATTTATGTAGCCGCCTCCTAATGACACCTCTGCTATCAACACAGCATTAAGCACAGCCACAAAGTACCACAATTAAAGTCAAATGAGCATCATAATTTAAGTCTATTCAAATAAAACTGTGGCGGCTGGAGAAGTAAATGCACCTAGAGAGTCATTTCAGAAATATTAAGTCGTTATTTTCCATGTTAAATGATAAGCCAAAATTCTCAAAGCTCAGATTTGTTTGGTGTTTATGGTTTTAACATCCACTCATTAGAGCGTGTCAGGATTAGAGTATCCGACCTCCTTATGTAATAGGACACCGTTAAACTACACTGTTTCCCAGCTAACACCTCCATCATCCTGCTGCATGTCTCTATAGAGAGCCCTGATGGTTCATAACATGAATGATGTTTCAGAGAATTTAGGGAAATATATATTATTTTTTTAAATAAATACTTAATGCAGTAACACACATTTACAATTTTAAAGGACCAGCAGTTGCCTTAAAGAGCCAATAATGGTTTGAACCACACAGACAGCAGTTTGGGCTCAGGCATGGGACAGAGACGCGTCTCCCACTGCTCACTGTCTGCCAGACGCAGTCAAGGGACGAAACACTGTATGGAAAAAAAAGTTGTGCTACTTACTCTGTAGAACTGCATTATGTTTTCTTTTGCCAGAGTTTTCAGATAAGCCACTTCAATGTTATCTGCAACACAACAGGGAAAACAGTTCATGTCAGTGAGGTTTAGAAAGGGAACTTTAAAGAGGATCTATGCTTATCTGTATTTTGTATCTTATACAGTGTTACAATGAGGTGAATGTATGTAAAGTAATCCAGTGAGCAAAAACCTCAGACTTCCTACCATTCTGAATACTTAGTTTCTTTCTACTCTGGCTACAAGTTGATGTCACCTTGTAATGGATTTCTTTATATGGTCATCTGCTCCAGGCACACTACTGCAAGTGTTTATATGACATAGTCTACACTGCTACATGCTAACTTCAGGGAAACATATACGCTTGGTTGCTGATGTTGTAAATTTCTCCCTGATTTTGGATCAGATTCCTGCTGGAACATGTCCGACTGTGTTTGGAAGCTTTTATTGCTGATTTTTCGAGGTATTATATTCTCCTCTAAAGTCGTTCCCTGGCTGCAATGACGGTGCAGACATGCAGAGATATGGAGATCTGAAATGCAGACCAATCAAGGCAGCTTGGGCTTTTGTCAGGAGAGGGGCTTTTAGAGACAGGCGCTAAAACAGAGGACCATGTAAACATGTTCCAGTTATATACGAGTATGAATGTGAGAATGAGCATTATAGGTGCTCTTTAAAGTTCCTTTACACTACTGATCCATCATTGGTCAGCTTTAGTTTTTACTGTTGCTGCGTAACAATGCAACTGAAACCAATGGGTAATACGTTACATATTAGTGTGCTCAATTGCTTGCGTAAAACTCTGATATCTGAGACTTGAGCTGCCAAGTATCTTTTTTTTTCATGATATCACTGTTTGCTTGTTGTTTGGTACCACTAGGAAGACTTTTCAAATCTCAAAGTCTCTACTGCCATGAACAGCTGGTGGTTAACCAATGCATTCTGGTAAAACAGAATCCAACCATGTCACATAAGCATCTTTTTACCCAAATGCAAAAAAAATGATGAACTGATGAATGAACAATGAACTAACAGCATCTGTCTCACAGTTGGAGCAGACTGTGTGTTGTGTGTAAGCTCTAACTAATGGCGTGTGTAGTATGTTTTTCTGTGCCCTTGGCGTGTTAGCTGCCCCCTCTTTCCCGACCCGCCCCCCCCTCCTCGAACACCGCTGGTATCAGTAATCACCACCACTCCCTTGGCAGCCTTTCAGTGTTGCCATCACTCAGGGCTTTAGGCAGATTACCAGTGAATCAGGCCCATTACAATCCATTATGGCACTCAGGAGAGTGCTGCAAGAGAGGTGTGCTACGGCTGCAGATTATTTCAGGCTTTAATCGATCCCAATTTGTGCAGCTCTAAGCAACATGCTGCTCACCTCTGGGACTGACCAAAATATTGATAATTCTCAAGAACCTGTATTCGATTTTCTGTGTGTACATGCTCTTCATACAGTAATCGCTGGTAGATCAGAAAGAGTTTTGAAATATATTTCTGTACACTTAAAAAGGAGCATTTGACCTGAAATCTAAACACCATGAAAAGTTAGCAGTGAGGTGAAAGGGAATGCTGGGATGCCTCACCTCTGTCAAAATTATACTGCTGGGAGATGATCTCTCCCCAGTACTTGGCACACTCAGCAGACAGCTTCTTAGGCTTGTCCAGGCGGCGGATGGCCAGGGCCTGGATGTGTTTCTGGAAGGCTTCCTCGCTCATCTCCTCCACAGATTTCTCCATGGTGCAGAGGAAAGCCTCCACGCGACTCTCCAGGTAGTGGGGCGCCTTCTCTGACTGGATGATGAAGCGCAGGCCTTGCACTCCGTTGGCCCGCCGAGGCCCACTGAACACAATGTAGCCTGGTGGTGGTGAGGGGTGGGGATATAAAAGAACTCAGCATAGAGGACAGACAGGGTACCGTGTGCAGAGAAACTGTTCAAAGCCTTTGAAGTGCTCTCAAAAACATTTTGCATTAAGGATCTGGTGAAGTGCTTTTATGTCCTCATTTAATTCTCATCATTGTCTCTGTATTTATCTTATTAACTTTAGGTCTGGCACTTTGATTACAGCACTACTTCCAAGGAAATGTGGTTCAGAGACTCAATCCATTCATTCTCCCAAGTTATTAAACATCATCATGGTTGACAGCACTTAAGAAACTTCACTTACACAGTTTCTGGTCTTTACAGAGAAGCATCTAATTACTAAATGCAGATTAAAGCCGCAGAATTCTCAGAGAGTGTCTGCATTAATATTCACAACCTGGCAGCAAAATTTAACACAACTGCCACTGTTGTTTCTCGTCTTTATAAAATGCGTCACACGATATGTTGTGCAGCATTTTCTGTGGGCTTACCGAGCTGTTCTTTGGTTCTCAGTGTGTTGAAGCAGGGCTCGGAGATGATCTGACAGAACAGCTCCAGCAGCATGTTGTCGTGGGTGGTCTGCATGTCGGTCTGATAGTAGATCTCAATGCCGCAATTGTTGTGCACCTCATTTCTCTGCTGGTAAACATACCAGCCACCTGAGAGGAACAGAAGCATATGGGTTTTTTTTCAGTGCTGTAATCATACAAAATAAACACATTCAGTTGAAAATGCATTACTGACAGAGGGCAGAGAAAGCAGGGCTCCCAAGCTGAGCCTGAAAAAACTCAACTTTTATTTCATCACAGACTACAGGCAGTAACAACTGAAGAGGCAGACATGTATTTTGTATGTCTATATGTGTTTAATTAAAAGCACTGAAGAACAAAAGGAAAATATTCAAGTTATTTGCATCAAAATATCTTAGTATTTTTATGTTTTTGAATTTCAAAAATATTGAAAAGCCCTTTCCCTAACCTCTCGTCATACTGTTCCAATTTAAAACAGAAAACAGATTATGGAACAGTTAATGGAAGACAGGATTTGATAAGCGTTTGAAATATTTTCTAGTGTGTGCCAATTTAATTTAGTTTATAAAGTCTATAACAAGTTCAAATGATTCAGTCCATCATGACTGTGTGGTGATATATTGAGAACCACACTTAACATGTGATGCCAGTGACTGAGTCAAAACCAGCTCAAGTAGAATCCTTTCATTAATCCGAAATCCACAGTGATCAATGAACTCAGATAAGCATGAAAATGAATTTCACAAGCGTATGTATGTATGCATAATCAGGTCTTTCAAAAACATAAATCACTGCTGCCTAAAGCGACACAAGTGATGCCTGCAAAAAAACTGATGAGCTGTTCCAACTGTAGATGTGCACTCCTGCCTGAGCACTTTGCTCCAGGCACAGATGAGTGTTACAGAGTAAAACAGGAAAGTTCAGACAGAGGACAGTGGTGACACTCTCCAAAAAACAGGCAGACAGACAGACATTCTGCTGAATGCCAACATTGTGCTTTTTGCTGAGTGGTTCCAAACTGGTTTCCTCCAGCCTTTCATCTGTACTTTAAATTTTCTTTTGAGCAGAACGTGGAGCGGAGCCATCCGTTCTTGCATGGGGAAAACTGGTTCCTTTTACGCTCAGCTTCAGTTTTGTTTGAGTCCATTGTGATCAAGCTCACTTTGAATGGAGGATGAGTTGAAGCTGGGTAATGCAGGTGCCTTTATGCACATGCTGACGGAGCACTTTGGCTCTGCGTTCGGGGAGTGTCACGTCCACAGCCCTAAACATCTCCCCGAGCATCCTTTAACATTTCAAAAGTTTTACTTAAGTGTGAAAACATTTTGGACAGATAAAAACCAAAGCTCTAATGTGAGGGGTGGAAATTTCAGGCTGTTGTGTCATTGTCATGTGTGTCGTTTTGTTTTGTCATAGCACATTTAATATCTCACTGTCAGTCTGGAATAAACTAGCGTTCAGTCAGCTCAAAGAAACACACAAAATACAGCATACTAAGAGGTGAAACTGGATAGTTCCACACAACATAATGGTAAACTGCACAACTTCCTGCTTTAAATATCCAATCAATCTTTTTTAACTATATAAATTATAGGTCTGTGGGTATTTTGTGCCTTTGCTACAGAAAGCATGAATAAATTCAGTTGGAGATTTTGTTCTCCAAGTCCTTGTTTTAAAAAAAAACCTGTCAATCAAATTAGGAGTGATAGCAGGCTCCAAAATTGTGTTTGAATTTTAGACATTTGGCTTTCTTTCTGATTACATTTGGACCACATGGTGCCTTTAACAAAGATTAATGTGTAGCTGGACAGATTCACAGGAACTTTCGGCTCTAAAGCTTTCAGCTGTGAGAGTAATAACCTGTTTCTCAGATATACTGTCAGCCAGTCTGTCATTTCATAATCCAACTTTGTGTTTACATCCTTTATGTCCTCCTTCCTAGCTCCTGCTCTATGTCTGACTGGCAGTCTGGAGCAAAGCCTGGAAAATCCCTCGGTGAGACACAGGATGTCTCCAGGTGGCCCTGCACAGCTCTGGTTTTCCTCTCTACATCGTTCCACTTTCCTAATGTAATCAGAAAGGCAGCACAGGTGCTTTGCTTGGCGTGTGTGTGCATTCATCTTTGAGCTGAGGGGAAGTGTACGTATTTTGCCTGATGACGTCCATTTCCAGTCAGTGACTATGATGTTCCTCTGAGGGAAATGAGGGATGTCGAATTTAATCAAGTCTTTACAAACGCAAGGCAGCGTCACTGATGACGAGGGCAACAGCACTGGGTGAGGGTTATTCTGCATGGTCGCCGTGGAGACAGGCTTGACTGGCAAATAATGATTAAGAGTGCTTAATCGGTGTGTGTGTGTGTGTGTGTGCGTGTGCGTGTGCGTGTGCGCGCGCACGCGCGTGCGTATGGGATGCGGGGGAGTGCAGGACTTACCATCTGGAACCTGCACCTCTCTGTAGCGAATCAGTTGGCTGGGGAGGAGGGGCTTTGTGTGAGCATGCTCAATGAGCGTGTCCTCCACCATTTGCATCATGCAAAGAGCAGACTATAGAGATGACAGACAGGGAGAAAAGGCCAAATATTTCAGTCCACAAACACAATATTTAGCTCTGATGATAAGCTCTATCCAAGAGTTTGTAAATGACCTGTTTTACACAATTTTCCAGGTTGCTGATTTTGGATCGCTAATTGATGGTACACACAGGTAATGCATTGCTCTCTTAACCCACACCCTAAAAACTACAGCGAGGTTAGCTTGATATTCCATATTCAATGTATACTTGCCCCCACCATTAACTCTCCATGCAGATTTGTTTTGATTTCATTTGCAAAGTGTGAGAGACTTCTGTTGCTACACTAACACAAACTAGAGACAGTGAATGGCATATTACTTGTGGAGCTCAAAGCATCAAAAAAAAAAAAAGTTTCCAGAAATAATGTACTGCTTACACAGACCTTACTGTGGACACTCTCAGCTTTTGTTTTAACCGTCAGCAGAAAACAGTTTGATTTAGTGGGTTAGAAGTCTAAAGTCTCTGCAGCAGACACATCACACCACCTCTCAGATACAACCAAAACCACTAGGGATATAAATACTGGGTAAAATATTAGGTTTCTGTCATTTAGATTGCTGAGCCTTAAAAAAATTCTATCAAGTCATCTTCATTGCAGTTTGTAGACTTATCAGTGTAATAGCCATAGATAGATAGATAAATAGATATATCCATTTGCAGAGTGTTAAAGGGACAATTCACCCATTTTTTCTTCTTACCTGTACACCCTTTAAATGTATCACCACGCAGAAGGAGATGTGTATTAACTGCTAGCTCACCTAGCACCAATGAGCTAGCTTATGTTACAACTCAGCTGAGGAAGACGCCATTAATGTTCACATTTCCCCTGTCACAAGCACAAACGTTTGGTAATGTAGTTCATTAAAAAGAAAATACTTTCAACATGAAACTGCTCACAACAAGGTCTGTGGATTATCTTGAGTAACCAGGTCATGATTTCTAGAAAGAGACACTGCTTTTAATTTTTTCAATTATTTTTTTGGCACTTTGAGCACCACAAGCTAAGTGCTATCTGGTTCTTTTATATTCGAGAGGAGGCAGATATTTCTATGGCTGACATCTCAAACACTCAGCAGCTCAAACCAAATCAATCTAGACAGTTTAAAAACACAACAGGTAAGAGGACATATATGTATTTTGGAGTTAGGGAGAACTGTCCCTTTAAAGGTGTGTGGGTTGTGTACATGGGATGGACTAACAAAGGGATTTAAGGGGTTTCTGGATCTGACTCTGGCACTGGTGCAGTCAAAGTCAATGTGGTAACTGAAAACATTGGGCTTGAGGAACAAAGTTTCATTAACTGATTGAGAGCGGAGGGTACATGTACGCATAGTAATAGGTTTAACACGAAAGTAATTAAAGCTACAACAATGATAACTTTTAAATCATTATTTTACAGTAACATTTCCTGCTCTCTAACTGGCCTGCTTTGCTACCAATAATAAGCACAAATTTCCCATTACAACATGATGACCTGATTTTTCATCTCTCATACAGCCTCTTAATACGAGGCTCCTTTGTCAAACTACTCGGTCAGTTCTTGCTCTGGCATTATAGGAACCAGCCTATACTATAGCTCAAAAGAAATGGATCATTGCACACACTGGTGAGTCTAATTCTCTCTCCACCAGACTGTGACGCTGTCATCATTACCAGGCGTACGGCGGGTGCTGCGACAGCTGGGACCTCATATAAAGAGTGACTTGCTCGCAGGATCTTATAAGAGGTTTTTGACAATAATCCTCACCTGTGTGATACCACTGGAAGGCACGATAAAAAGCTGAAGGTGACTCAGATGTTCCAGTATAAAAAGTGTATTCAATATTCACAGGAAAAGGCTTACACATATTTTACAAAACTTAGAGCATCGATATGAAAGGAAAGAACATTTCCTCAGCTGGCAGTAAAAACACAGTGGCAAACCTCCTTGGTGATGTTGCCATGGAGAAGGGCTTCAATATGTAACCGTGACAATAGCTGAGGTATGAAGGCCTTGAGGCGTGGGAGAGTTACATCTGGAATACAGATCACAGACAACAGCAATCAATCAAAGAGCAATTTCCCAGGCAATTTTACCAAGCTGCTATCAAGACTGAATCAGGAAAAAAACAGAATAACTGCTGTGTGTGTGTGTGTGTGTGTGTGAGTTTCATCGACAGCATACTCTTCACGAACAGGACAACAGCAGTCACCAGTTGGACAATCATGCAAAACACACGCACACTTACACATTCAGTTACACATACATAAAAATCAAGTGTGTCTCAATGTGGGCAGGCCAATCTGAATTCAAGCAACGTCTGACCCAGATTCAAGGATGAGCTACTACAGGGATACACACACACACACACAATCTATCTAAATGATTGTGTCCACACACCAACACACACACTAGGAAACAAGAGACTGAAAGTGCCTCATAGACCTCATACAGGGGACAGCAAAAGGCTAAGGACACTGATAAGAGAAGGCGTGGTAATTGGAGGCCCCGATGACTGGGCTGCAGGCTTTGACCCTGCAGGTTAATTGAGTCTCATGTGAATTTGAGGATAGTCCGTGTAAGCTTCATGGTAAAAAATAGCAGTCTGCCCTTCAGGTTCCAGACTGGCACTGCGGAGAGGAAAGTCTGCAGCTAGGGAGGCATCTGCTGGAGAACAGTCTTAGCATTCAAATGAGGATTCAAGGAAGAAAACAGAAAAGAAGAAAAGACCTAAGGTGAGAGGAGCGAAAGAGAAGCCCTTTATCAACTGTCAGCCACACTGAAACTGAGGAATAGTGAAATTTCGGCCATATGTTTGTTGCTACAGCTACAAGGTTATTCAACCTCATACCTACATATCTCAAGCTTCACTTGCTCAATCTAGCCTGAAGAAGGACTAGAATATGCATTTATTCTGTATTTCAGTGAACTCAGTTTGACCCGCAGGAGAAAAGGGAGTAATAAGCACATGGGCTGAGACTTTGAGACAGTGAAGAGAAAAAGAGAAGGATTACGAGAATCCATCCTCACCGTCCAGAGCCTCTCTGAGCTCGTCTTTGGTCCAAGCGACCTCAGTCATTAGTAGACGGAGGTAGTACATGGCGTGCTGGTGAGGCTGCTCTGCTCTGAAGTTATTCAAAGACCTCATGTACTGCGGGGAGAAAGAGAAGGCAAAGTCAGTTCAATATCAACACTTCATGAACTGGACTTGAAAGAAAAAAGTATGTGAAAACTACTGGAGCGCATCAAAATGCTGCTGCTGTTACTGCTCTTGTGTTGTAAGGTAGAATAAAACAGGCTCTGAATACTCAAGGGTTAAAGTGAGCTCCTCCATAAAGTCATTTGTTTGGTCAATCATAATTCATCATAACTTTGTGCCGACGATGGCGTGAGCTTACCGCTTCCTTGATGATGTCAAAGCGCTTCTCATCTATCTCAAAGGTGGCCATTTTCTCAATGATCTTCTTCAGCAGGATGTGCTGTTTGTCATTGTAACCTTTAACAGACAGCTGCAGCAGACAGCAACAGAGGACAGATGGTACATTATCAACAAACACAAAGATAAGGCCAGTCTGAAACTGCAGTTTCAATTGCTGATTTGATCTATTTATTTATTATGTGTGGATTTACTGGCTGGCTGAATGATTGTCAAGATCAGTTCCTTCTTAAGATGATTCACCACCTCTACAATAAGTATCACAAAATATGTAATAGCACTTTCATTATACTCAAAACTGAAAATGTGGAGGAATATACATTAAAAAAGACTCCCCTCCACCACATTAAAAAAACAAAAAGTAACAAGAGGCTGATCTATGTGAGGAAGAATCACTTCATCACGATGTTTTTTTTTTTTTTTTTTTTTTAATGCAAATGAGCATTTTAAAAATGGAAAAGAACAGTCAAGGTTATTTAAAGCCTTTACTTTGCAATGTCATCTGCACCTTATGGCCCGTAATGATTCAGCAAAACCTCCAGCTACATAGCTTCGCTCTTAGACTCATCCCATTCCTCCCCGATCCCTGTTGCTGAGTCCCTGCGGTGACACCTGTTAAAGTAATCTCTCCTAACATCACTAACCTTGACAAACACCCAGCCAGCCACACCAACACTGCTGACTCAAATCAATTACATACAGCCCATCACATGACTACACAGATAGTGTGTTGAATAGCTGTCTCAAAGGGCACACCATGATTGTGATTCACAGGTGAGAGGAACCTAATGAATACAGGCTACTCGGTCATATGACAAAGGGTGCAGCCAAGAGGTTAGAAAGTCAGAAAAGAGCGTAACACCATCACCGCAAACCAGTTTCATCCATAGGTATGTTGTTACTTTGCTGTGAGACAGACAGACAGACAGACAGACACATGTATTCATATATTTGGGGGGAAACAAAGCCAGATTGAGCAAGTCGCCTGTAACTAATCAAACTTCCTGGATACAGATCCACTTCCAACATCCTTTGGGCTCTGGCATCAGCAGAAATGTGACTATAAATATGTCAAGAGAATCTGCATCATTTGGCTTTATTCCTTGTATCTTAAGACGGAGACACTATTTCATTGACCACCTGAATGACACTGACACAACAGAAGAGAGAGAATGGCAGCCAAAAGACCAAACAATAATTACACAGGTAGGTAAAATTGTGCCATACAGTCTATTTCTCCTTCTCCTGTCTGAATATATTACCCTGAATGAATTTTGGAAGTGAATCTGCAATACCAGTCACTCATACGTCCTTGACTGAAGCAGCCAAGGTTCAGCGTATTCTGAAAGTCTGCACAAAGTTTTAAATTTATGAGTTTTATTGCCACAGAGGCCTGAAATAAAAACCTGTTATATCAATTCATAAACCCCTAATCTTAGAAACGAAAAACTCTTGTGACAGAGGGTGAGGTATGGAAATGTGTGTTATTCTTAAGAAATGTGATGAACAGATTCTTGAGACATAATTGCTAGAGGCAAATATTTTAATCCTAAGCAGAAATAAAATGTCAATTAAGTAGCAATGACATTTCCAGAGGACTGTATTCAGCAACAGTTAAAAGGACATATTAAGTTGCTGTTTGCGGGGGATGCAGTAGCAAGCAAAGATTCTTATAAATCCTTCAGGTTGGACAAGCAGGCGACACACAGCACTTCTTCACATACGTAGAAAACCAAGCTGTTTTCACACTCTGTTCATAGCCTCAAAGTGGACCCTTCATTGGCACCCCCTACTTCCCTCCAGATTTCACACGGCTTACTTACGAGGATGGCATTCATCCCCGAGGCTACGCCATACACCAGCCCGGCCAGGCGGGCTGCATATGTATACTCTTTTAAATCATCCTTCAGTAACCTGAGTAACAAGTAGGTCATGTTGCAGTGCAGGGGGTCTGCATATAGGTAGCGACTAATGAAAGGGGAAAAAAGAAGAAAAACAAAAATACACGTTTGTTGGGAATGAGGGGTTGTCAAAAAAAAAAAAAGGACAAGACAATGCATGCATGAGAAGAATGATAAGAAGAGTATGTATATGCAGCCTCATGACCAGCCTTCTGTCTCCAGATAAAAAACTGACGACTAGATTCTGTGGAAGACTTGCCACTGCTGTTTTCAGATTTATAAATTTAATGTCATTGGTGGAACGCCGCTTTACCTGGTGTGATAACTACAGGCGTGCCTTTAACCATAATATGCCTAAAAGACAGAAATGACAAAGATTCGATACGCCTGAAAACGAGAGAAAATAATTGCCTCAAGTGGTCATTAGGGTTTCGCGGGAGGTGGGTGAGCAAAAATGGGAAAAGGATTGATGAAGAATGAAGAGGAAGATGCAGACAGAACAGAGGCTAGGACAGCCAGGTCTTAGTTGGAAGGGTTTTATATTTTTTTTTCCTTTTTTAAATGTTTTTCTTTTTAACTACATGGTTAAGGTTTACCATGAGTTAAGTCTCACATTATAACAGACAAAGGACTTTAATAAACAGCAGATTCTTGTTAACTTTTCTTCATTAATGTATCATCCTGTGAGATACAACATTCCAATGTGCCCATTCAGATGGCTTAAAATGACCCGTCAACCCAGGCCTGGCTGAGCCACAGTAGCCCAGTCTGGGGATGATTAAGGTTGGGGACGTAAAGTCTGGGATGCAGCGTGAGGGCGATGGGGAGGGATTTTGAATACTTACATACATCCCATAGACGGTATTTTGGAGGTCATAGTTCAAGCCAGCTAGCTCGGCTGCATATGCATACTCGTTGAGGGAGTCCTTGAGGAGCTCCAGGTATAAATATGCCATGTTACAATGCAATGGGTCCACGTACGCAAACGGGCTGTAGAGAAAATGGCAGTGGTCAAACAAAACATAGAAACAAAGCGTAGAGACATTGGTCCCTACATCTCACTTCAGTTAAGGGTGTAATGGAACAAATGTTCCACAACAGGACATTTGGTTGGTTATCAGACTTGCTACAGTTTGTTACAAACTACAAACCCCATAACAGACTGTGATTACAGTCCAACAAAGAAGGGTTTGGCAGTGTTTCAGTTGTAGACTATTGGCTAGCTAATCCAGACTATCCCAGTTCATGTAGTGGTATCGTCTGTGCAAACACTGGAAGACTCCCAAGTTAGACTGACTGTTTGGAAGTGGCCTCCTGGTAAATTACAGCAACACTTGAAAAAGAAGCAGGTGCAAGACTTCCTTTTGGATTATTTTGAGCCGTTTGCCACAGCAAAGATATTTCTCTTCTAGAGTTGAGAATTTCAGAAAAAGAAATCTTGTAACGGCAAACAATTTCAGCAAAATGGCATTCAATTTGAGGTTTATGTAGCGTTTCCGTATTTGTATTTTTATTGCTCTTAACATGCTGGCCTGCGACCTTCAGTAAAAAAAACTGTGACAGACTTCACCTTACCACAGTTTTGTTGCATTACAGTAAAAAAAAAAACACACTGAGAAATCACAATTTTACAGTGATCACATGTTCAGTTCCCAACAGATTTATAGATCTGAGATATTATCATTTTGTATTTTTCAATAGTTTTTATTTTTATTTATCTCTCTGTCTCTGTCTCTGTCTCTCTCTCTCTTTCTCTTTCTGTCTCATTGTGTCATACGGATTACTGTTAATTTATTATGCTGATCTGTTCTGTACGACATCTATTGCACGTCTGTCCGTCCTGGAAGAGGGATCCCTCCTCAGTTGCTCTTCCTGAGGTTTCTACCATTTTTTTTCCCAGTTAAAGGGTTTTTTTTGGGGAGTTTTTCCTTATCCGCTGTGAGGGTCCTAAGGACAGAGGGATGTTGTATGCTGTAAAGCCCTGTGAGGCAAATTGTGATTTGTGATATTGGGCTTTATAAATAAAATTGATTGATTGATTGATTGATTGATTTCATTTCTTTGTTTTTAGTGCAGTTAATTTTTCAATCAGTTACCAGACTTTTTAAATTGTAGATTATTTTCTATTAGTTAAAGTATTACTTTTAGTTAGTAGTAGGGGCAGGACTTAAGAAGTTCAGAATAGGTATTACAATATAAACACAACAACACTTTGTGAAGGCAACTAAGTCGTCATGTAGACATTCCAGTCTCAGTATGCACCACTGCCTCCTCATGCTTTGATAATATTAACAAAGACTTAAAGAAAAGACATTCCCTGTGTACTTTTACTTTACCTTAGTTTTTAATTTCAGTTATCTAAAATGTTTTTCCACACCTTGTTTTAGTTTTTAGTTCAGTTTTAGTTAACTATGATAACCATGTTATAGATACAGTATAAGTGACTGCAGTCTGGAGATACCTGCCTCCATCTAAGAGGTGAGAGCCTCAATCTTTTCTGGTCTGGTCTTATTTAATGGGATACTGGCAGAAAGTTAAGCTACTGATAATTCAAAATTAACAGTTAGTTCCTCTAGCTCCTCTGAAACATTCAAGTATTTTGTTATTGTAGAGCAGGTACAGAAACTGTTGACAAAACCACAATCAATTCATATTAACACATCTACATCTTGTTTTTTTTTAAAGACAATTTTCTGCACTTTTTGGCAGATTACTCTGGATGGTATACATATCTGTTGTTATTTTTTATTATGAAGAATTAACAAAGTAACCTTTGTAGTAACACCTAGTAAAAAGTGGATTCACTGGTGGGGACCTTGTACCTAAAGTTCCAGCTGAACCATTAAGGTTCATAGTTACATACCTGAAGAACTCAAAGTTCAGGCATGCCTTAGGCAGGAAGAACTTGTCATCCTGCTTGAACCACACCTTGCTCATGGCAGTGTCCTGAAAGAAATAACACCACACACAAGCAATTCATTTTTTCATATTCAAGCCCACTCTGAGCTAGATAAGTGTTTGCAGTTCATGGAAATGAAAAGGCACACTTCAGACAAACCACAGGCAGAGGGAGCGTTTGCTTTATCACATAACTGTAACAAAGTTACTTTGATATCATCCGATTACAATATAGTGAAGTAGCAAGAAAAGAAAACAGGCACAGTGGCTTTTATAAAGCTTTTCCTTCAGAGAATGGAATATGTACGCTGCTGTTAATAGCTTAGTTCCTCTGATCTTGACATGATGGCAGCAACAGTGCTAAATGCTTTATGTCTCAATCACAATGCCTTATTAGCATATAACAGCAATACAGAGATTCTTAATATGCAGTTAAGGATCGTCTGGAGCAGTAGTGTAATGAAGAGCGACAGTACTTTGAATACTTTGCCAGATCTGTGCAGCAAAAACACTTGCCTTGATTAAAGTGGGAAATGATGGAGAGTCTTTCTCAAGAGGGTAGATTTCGAAGTTGGTCGGGATGAACTCGTTTTTCATGGGCAGTTTGAACTTGCCATTGAGGTCTGCACTTGCCCATTTCTGAAACACAGGAATATAATAAGTAAGCAGTGTCTTATATAAAACATAAGCAGTAGTCATACACTCATCACGAAGCAAAAAAAAGATTCCTGGTGCTGTGCGTCATTTGATTAGAGCACCATGACCACAGTGATTCACCTCAATGGACTCTGCAGAGATGGCTTCCTGTTTGTACTGCGTACCGTACCACTCTTCTGTCTTGTCTGTTTGTCCTTCAAATGACTTTGACACCACTGCAACTCTGGAAAATCAAAAGAGTGAACCAGGTCACGTTACATGGATACAAAAACCTCTCTGTCAGCTGATTAGATAGTCTCCATTTGTAACCACCCCGCATGAGATGAGTGCTTTTCTATTAGCATTGCATTTGGATCATGTAGTGCAGATCCATTGACACGTCCTGTGCCTTTGACTGATGAGCTATGTTTAGAATTCCTAATCGCTCTCAGTGCACCGCATTCAGAGTGTATTTCACTGCTACCTAAACATTTATTTAATCACAAAGTGGACATAGTACATTCTTGCTAAGTAAATGACAACTAGGACTCAGCATAAAGAGAGTTAGTGTGCATCATCATGTGTGTGATTAGAATTTCTAGCACTTTAATGATGCAACTTGATTTGCTGTAACTTCACTTACGGCTGCTGGAATGAGAGTGATACATAAGGAAGCGCTGCCATGAATTCAAAGTAGCGGTGGTTACACCCCAAGGTTAAATAGCCACTTCAGTAAAGGACGAGATTGGCACCCAAACTGTCAGGGTCAGCCAATGAGGGCACGCAATCTCCTCCTCTTTAAGCATTAAGGAATGGAGTAGTTACAAGTCTGCACTTTGCTTGACATGGGCAGCATCCCATAAAATGAACTGGAGTTGAGGCTTTACTACGCTTAGAGTTTTACATAAGACTCAAAGTCGGGCTGGAACAGAGAAGATTCTGCTATTCCCAAAAGATATGTCAGACATTTCTTTGGATTCCCAAAATGAATCTCCTGTTGGGTAAAGTCTTTGACTTTCTTTTTAATTTAATTCCTACCAGAACAGAACACAGTGTCAAACAGTAGTTCAAGAAAAGATGGCTGAACTTCGTCAGCTTCTTAACAAAGGACAACATTTATGTACAACTTTATGATTTACTGATATCATCTTAGCTTATTGGTTGGTGTTTACTTTGGCTGCCAACTAGATCTTCCACTGTACAGCATTAAGCTGTCTAGCTCTGCTTTAACACATAACACTCTTTGACAGACCAATATCTTCAAATAGCATGGGGCATGTATAACAAGTTAGCAAGAAAAATTTTATATTTGCCAAATTGTTTATGTAATATCCTATGGGGGATAGCAGCATTTCCAATTCAGAGAGCAAAACTTGATAATGTATTCTTGAGCACACATTTCCATCTCCCGATATAACAAACGGACTCTTTGAGGCTGTAGAGATAATCAAATCTGTGAAGTTGTCTGGCATTTCTTTTCAAGGCAGAAAATTGAAAAGCTGTTTCATCCAAATATCAGAGTAGACCAACAGCACTTTGTCACAGCTGACAGGCTACAGAAAGTCGAGTAGAGTCATTATCTGAATGTATTATCCTCTATGTTATTATCCTTGTGTCACAGATACAAGTTATAAAGATACAGCAAACTTTCTGAGATATTTCTTTGGCATTATGCACAAATACACACATTACTACATGTGTGTCAGGCTTGCAGTGCAACTATTCATCCATAAAGGAAGGGAATTGTTATTTTCTTTACATAATATGTATAACATTTTTCAATTGCTATCTAAAGCTGCACTTTCATTAGTGCTCACACTGACCTGACATGCTCTGGTCTCAGCTTGTCCAGCACCATCTCAATCAGATCTGGCCTGAAGTCCTCCAAAAGGTATTCTGCTGCCAGAACCTCTTCAAGAGGGTAGTACTGAAAACACACAGAGCAGACAGCTGTTAGCATTGTGCTGCTTGAAGTGGGAGGATTAGCTGTAAAACATTTGTGGAGATGGCTTAAAATTCAATTGTACTCTTTTTTGCTGTAATAATTATATGTCTTCAACTGCAACTGGAGTGGACTGATAGTAAAACACATTTGTTAATAAAGCTTTTATTTCCAAGATCTGTAGATCTCAAACCGATAGTTTAGCCACTGAATCAAAGCCTGCAAACTGTTAAGAGAATGGAGGGGGGAAAATGTACTGCGAAACCTGGCAAGAAGACACACACAAGAAAATTCCTGTAATTCGTGCAGCAGATAATGATTAGGTACTTAAGTCAATGAGCCTCGCTGCGACAGTCATACAGGAACTGTGGTAAATACAAGAACTGAGCCTTGCTCTGACTGTGCCTCTGCAAAATCTTAATTCGCTCAGTACAGAGTCAACAGCAGCACCAGGCAGCCTGATGACGACAGCAGGTACCGACGCAAAGAGCTGCATTGTGTCTCCCTGGAAACAACCTTTGCAGATGGAGAGAGGACCTACGTGTACAAGACCAGCCACTTTGGAAGTGTAGCCGCGGGGTCGCTCCTTGTCCTTGAACCTGAAGGCCACTTTGTTTAAGTCCTACAGAAAGAGAGACAGAGGTGAGGGATCAAACATGTGAAACCACAACACATACAACAGTTACATACAGCAACTGTTTTATACAGTTACTGTATAGAGACAGACATTCGGAGCCAGAGTCTAGAAAGAGGAGCTGCACAGAATTTAATCCCCATGTTATTCTAATCCTTTAGGAGATAGCGTAGCATAGAAAATGAATACTATCCAGCTCCATTTGACATGGCTACATTCAGCCGATAAGATGGTGAAAATAGCTGGCAGGTCTGAATCCCATCAGTCTCTGCTGTCAACGTCTGTGCTGCTCTATTAGTTTCTCAACTAACCAGAAATAAGTAGGTCAAGTTTGTCCTGCCCCTCTGTCTGAAATGCTGTCGCCGAATAGACAACATTAATTACCTTGCACTCCTCAAACACCCACTCCTGAGGTCCCTCAGTGCGCAGTTTCTGGATGTACTGGAACATGTGGAAGATGATGTCCTCAACGTGCACTGCAGTGACAAATATAGCATGCCTTAATGAGGAGTATTTCAATTTCATTTACTCACACATACACACATCTGACCACAATAGGGAATAATCAAACACATGCAAAGCACATGAGTGAATGTTAACGGCTGTGCTACTTACACAGGCCCTCCTCTGTCAAATCCACATTGATGATGAAGAACATGAATCCTCGAGCTCCTTCTTTCTGCCCTCCAACAAGTGTGTTCACCCAGCCTTAAAAATAAAAATAACGGCCATTGTCAGTAAGTCACATACTTAAGATTTAAGACTGAAAATTGAACATCTTGATTACTTTAATAGCACATTGTAAATACTAAAGAAATTCTACTGCAGTCAAATCAATCAGAATATGGTACATAATCTGATTTTTGATCATATTATATATTTTATACAAATACTATTACGAAACAAAAAATATAAAATTCAACAATCTGTGAGGTGGGAAAACATGATAATGCAAACCATACCACAATAGTTTGAGCTTTTTTATTTATTTTTTTAATTCTTCTTTAATTCTCTATGTCCCACCTTTAGATTTGAGCTCTGATAACAAACTTCCAGGTCCTTCGTGGCCGATCAGATGTCCCAGATAATGTCCTGGGTTAGATTTATAGTACTTCTGTAGGTCAGGGATGGGGAATGTCACGTACAGGTTCCTGATGTCTTTGATAGGCACCACTTTGTAGAATTGCTGCAACAAATCACCAAGAACAAAAAAACAACTTCTTGTTACTTAAGAAAACTCAGTCATTTGATATTTTAGAAATAAAATTTTGATGAGCGATAAATGGAAAAGGTTTTCATCATGTAGTGCCTAAATACAGTTTTCATACAGCAAACAGCCAGTTGCTTAAAAAAGCTAATAAATACTATCTTATTAAAAACTAGCTATGGCTGTGTTACTCACTCTGAGGTGTTCTTCCTGGAAGGGGTGCTCTGGGAATTCTGGGATAGGTACATTTTTGTTCTCCACTTCTCCAAATAGCTTCACCACCATGGAGGTCAACTCATCTAATGATTCTGTGGGGAAAAGACAAAAAAGCTTAGCTTAGATAGACTTTAAAGTTAACAGACAATAAGGAGCCCATATGAGTACAAAGAGGACTCAATTAAACCATAAACTATAATAAAGGATAGCTCATTTTCTAAACTCATCTAGTGAAACAAATACCAGCGATCATACTTTGACCATTAATAGTATTTCCAGGATGCACAGTACGGCTCCACTCACTGTAAGTTTGACCGTAGCATTTTTTGAAAGTTCACTGGACATTCAGCAGTTGAGTAACTGAGAGCGACATGAAGCCATTAAATCACGCAAGGATGTTCTTGTAAGCACGCTTGTCAAACTCTGTTTCTTGCAATTCATACGAGAAAGCCTTGCAAAATGTCAATTTCCCCTGGTAATGAACTTGAGTGACACATAATTTAATTAAAGCTAGCTCTAAATTTGAATCACTCTGGTATTACCAATATAATGACAATTAAAAAAATCATGTTTGAGAAGTCCTTTCTGGAATTATTTTTATCTCCGTGATTTCAGCTTCAGTTTATTGGGAAGTTTGTTTAACTGCCCTTAAACACAAAGACCAGATGGTGAAACAGGAAGAGGGTGCTGCTCTCTTGCCACAAAGGAAGCAGAGGTTTTCAAAGTTTGTCCCAATTACAGAAGATTACACAGGCTGAAACTAGTAAAAGACCAATGGGAAGATAATTTTAGAAACCACCTCCACCATGTTAGCAAGGCTAAAGAGAAGATAAACATGTAAAACAAGACAGAGGAGGTGTAGGGCATATAGTGTATGGACTAACCCCTCAAACTAGCATCAAGCAGAAGCTACTCAGTCTTGACAATGGTCTCATTTGTTTTTGGCATTTATGCTGAAGTACAATATCATGATTTGATCTGACAATCATATGTTGAATTGCTGTTTAACAACTTGAAAATCAAACTTGTAACATTATGGTTTAGGCTACATATACCATTTCATACATGACTTGCATGGTTTGTTCCTCTTCGATGTTTTGAGTAACTGACGGTACAAGGAATTGACAAGTCATACAAGCTCTGTTCAGGCTGAGTGATGCTTTTGCAACATTCAAACATGATATTTGTGAGAGCTTAACTCTTACCTCTTCCTAACACGCACAATCCCATCAGGTTAGAGGAGTAATACGTAGAGTGAAATTTCAGGAGCTCCTGACGGATGTCGATCCCATCTTTAGACGGCCAAGTTTCAAGGGTCAATTTGTTACCTTTAAAAGAGATAATACGTGAGTTGTGAATATTTGTTTTTCAAAAACATGCCACAACTTCTCCAAGACAGAGTACAATTATAATAATCAATCTTTTATTAAAAAAAACAAACAAACAAAAAAAAACCTCAGGTCCATTTGCAATTATCGATTTTGTTTGAATGAACAGATGCACAAATATGAGCAGCGTACTGACATTAGTGCATTGTGGTGAGTGGACAGATAATGATCACTGCACAGGGTGAAACAATGTCTGTTCCTCTTTTTAAAATGCAATGACACAAAAAACATCAGCATGATCTTCTTGAGAGCTGCATCAACACTTGAAAGCATCAAACATTAAAACTTATGAGAACAGTATATGATGATCAACATATGATGATCCAGTGACAGTAGCCTGCCAGGTACATGAACAAGCTGCTTGCCTCCCATTGGTTAATGAGCCATATTTCAAATTTTTTGAGACAGACAGAAAAACAAAGCAACAATCTTGAGAAGATTATGTTGGTCTACGAAGAGAGCATGATACTCAGGTCTGTCTGATCCTCTTCTATTCTTAACTGGAATAAAGATGATATAATTCAAGACTGCCATCAGGTGGCTATTTTGAGCTCGGAGCTGCTCCAAGCACACGTCACTCTGATCTGGGACTTCACTGGCCCGGAGAGTAAACTCCCTTCATGCTGCGAGATGCTTTGCCTCACAACAGCTAAATGTCAGTTGAGTGAATCTAAATGTTATGATCATAAAATGTGTTAGAAATGTCAAAGATCTAAACTGTAGCATGTGAGCAAAATGATGGGTTCATATTTTATTTATTGCTGTAGAACACATGTCCTTTGGTTTAACAAACACAAATAAAGCGGGGTATTTGTTTTGTCCTTAGCTTTAAACACCGATTTAAATATATCAAGTGCTAAAACGCATACTTGTTGTGTTCAGTGTGTGCATACAGAGAGAGACAGACAGATGTGATGGACCTGATAACCTTACAAATCATATTATGTGGGTGGACTGCAATGAGCAGAAGTCAGAATGAATAATAGAACCATGTATAGTTAAAGTGAGCATTGGTGTAAACTGTGGAGATTTCCTACCTGTTCCAAATTTACTGAAGGGGTGGTTAGGGTTGCCAGTGGCCTTTTCTAACTGGAACAACCTCCAGGCATCATTCATCAGGTTCTTCTCATGCTCAGAGTCCACAGCATTCACCTCCCGGTCCTTACAGCTCTCATCAAACAGTGGGCACAGGAAGAATTGAGCGAACCTACAGAAATTGCAAAATGACAGTAAATGGAACATTAAACAGTATAGTTTCATATGAGTATCAGTATAGCAGTTGTAAACATTCACATGAATAATTACTTTATTTAAAGGGATACTTTCCCGATTTTCTGGCAAGTATCTGTAGTATGTGTTAATGAAGTATGTTAAACTTGTCTCCATCTTGGCACAGACCTTCCTGCTCATTTGCCAGCAAAAACCCACTTAATGACGTGAAACTTTTCGCTATTTCTCTCCTCAAATGTTGTCAGAAACATACTTAAGCTCAGTATTTAACTGTAATACAAGATCATTTGTTACCAGCCGGCCACCACATTGTTTCCAGACAACCAAAAACCAACGTGCATTATGTCATTCACCAGTGGGAGTGTTTATTTACCTAGTGCAACACAGTGCATTCTCTTAACAGTAGGCTTTATACCTCTTGCGCAAAAGCCACAGCCACAGCCCTTTTCTCTGGATTCTCTGGTCATGAAGCACCAATGTCAAAAACATTTGCAAGTTTCTACTGTATAGACGGCCTAGTTTTATGAAAAGACCATCCTTCCAACAGTGAAATACTTCTTTAAGGCTATTGTGCTTTTTCAGCAGTAGCCTGTTCTGAGTTTACTGAAGGTGTGAAATGTGAAGGACCATTTGTAGACAGAAAAGGAGTTGATGAAAATCCCATTTGCATGAGTGCAAAGTGAGAGCAACTGCCAAGCAAATGACTAAAGATAAGCACACACACATTTGAATGTTTTTAAAGCAACATCCCAGGTCAGCATTTTGCTGTAGATTTGAAGATTACAAAGCGGATGCCATCTTGTACCAAATCCTGTCATTTGACAAACATGCCCCTCTGTTAAAGCAGCTGATTGTTTGGATCAATAAAAAGACACTGCAAAACAATCACACCATGAACACTGGTACTGCAATTAACAAACTGTTTACTGTGTGTGGTTCTTGCAGCTTGTATCCTTAGTAAAATGCATGTTCAAACACTTTCTTTAGCCCACTACAAAAAGATGAGTCTGCTTTTCCATTACAAGTGATCAAATTTGTTAACTGCCTAAAAAGTATATAAAGTTATTCTGATAATATAGCAAGGATATGGTTAATATAACGAAGCCAGCTAATGACACATATGATCCTTTCAGACACAATGCTCTCCTATTTTCTAAGTGGCAACATCATCAATATTTCAACACACTCTGCACTGTCCTTTCCTCCCACTACAGACCAGATGGCCTTCACAATTCACTGGCGCAGGGGAACAATTAGCCTTACGCACATAAACAGGTGCTTGCTAGACTATCATTCATTTATAAGCAGGTAAGCTAACCCCAGTACATTAAGTTCTGACACTGCCTGACTGTCCTCCGCAAACCACCACAGCTGGCACGTGAGAGGAGACCCCTGCAAGGCTGAGGACATCAGTCTCACCCTGTGCCTGAGGCTTCTAGCCTGAGGGGGGTAGGAACTATGCTGATGGTTACAAAAGAGAGCACACTGAAGCTGGGTTGGGTAACCAAAGACGGACAGACAACAACCTGGCAGCTCATTTGGGTTAACACCTGGACTCCCAAGAGTAACACTGTACACTGATAAACAAACAAGCACTTAGACAAAGAGATGACATCCATCTTAACTGGACAAATATGAGTATACAAAATAAATATATAATATAGGAAGCCTGAATATCGACATGTAAGGCTTTTAACTGATGTATGTAAATGCGGGAGACAAAGTTTGGGACCAGTCAAATGAATCTAAATTCGACTGGCCATAACATCGTTAATGTCAGTTTTGTCAATTACGACTAACATTTGCATAGACCAGGTCATAATACATAATACAGGACACACCTAAGATGCACATAAGATAAATGAGACAAATTACTTTTTGTGCGTGGCAAAATGAGTCCCATCAAATTAAGAGGACAGTACCTATCTAGTGCTCCTTCCAAGTGCTCATGGGACACGTCAAAGTAATAGTTGGTATGTTCCCCACTGGTGAAGGCATTGGAGCTGCCCGCGTGCTCACTGAGGAACTGGCTGTACTCGTTTTCCTTGGGGTACTTCTTTGTTCCCAGGAACAGCATGTGTTCACAGAAGTGCGCCAGGCCCGAGATGTTCCCTGGGTCTGATAATGAACCTGTAACAATTAAAAAGAATTGCCACAGAAAACTAGTTAATCAAGCTGTAGATCTCTCAGCTCGTCAAAGTTCAAAGATAACACCTTGACTTTTCAGTTTCTGATAGATTGATTGTCCAAACTGGAAAAGAAAGCAAAGAGTGGAAATAATCCTAAATGAGTAACATCACAATAACAGCTAAATTTCTTTACATGGAGAATTACATCATTAGACGGCGCAATATCTTCATAATAGTAATAATAATAATGATAATAGTATGATCAAATAGTTAAGACCATCTTTGCCAAATAACTGGCATTTAAAACAAAAGGTGATTGTGGCATGGTAACATTTTGTTTTACTTTCACTATCCCAATGGGGCGGTGAAAGATCATCGTTCACAGAAACCTTGTTAATAATTTCATCACCACTTCCTTCCCTGCAGTTAATGCAACCTGCTACTGCCTAGACAGAGATAGGGCTTATAGATGGAAGTTACAATATTTACAAAAATTGTTTTCTGAGCAGCTGTCTTATCCTGAAATGAGACACCAGGTAGGCAGACAGTAATGTTGTGTTTACAGGTTTATTTATGGTGGCAGGATTACTCAATAAGAGAAATAAAAGAAAATATATAATAATAGTAATAATAATAACAATAATAAGTCGATATTCAGTGCCCATGCTTTCCAAAACTGTGTGATCAAGGTCCCTGTAAGGAGGAAATGTGTCAGCTAAATGAAAATATGTGACCACCTGACAAAGCAACTGTAATAAAATACATTTACCTATTTGGACATCCAAAGCAGCTGAGGATTTGTCTGTGGTTGGGTCACTGATGAGCATGGCCTTCAAGCCATTGGTAAACTCCAAACCCCTGTAGACCCGTTTGTCCTCGGGTGAGCGAATTATGTCACTAACCACCCTGTTCACAGCTGGGTCGGTCATTCTGAGTGGCAAGGATGACACCAGCCTGCAGTGGAGGGAATCAAAATGTACAGTCAAAATTTAGGAATTTACACAAGGAGTCTGGCCTTAAAACTTAATATGCTGCTTTAACCCGACACGATGGCTTTGGGAGATTTCAGTACTGAGGACGACTCCATTAACTTTGGTTAATTAGACACTCAAGACTCAACAGCAATGAAACGTACTAGCTAACACCACTGTGAGAGTGGCTGCTGTTGGTGGACTCATGATTGATGCAGGAATATGGCATTCAATCATCTAATAATTTATCCCAAGCGGCGTAATTATGAACAGGCCAGCTCTTAAATGTAACCAACAACCCTGTTTGTAACTTGGATAAAGACTTTGAATGACCACTGGGCTAAACGGCACTGCTTTTGACAGGCAAAGTACAGTCAGCTAGACAAAAAGTTCCTAAAGACGTAACGCTATTCCTTAAAAGAAATACTGATTTATAATCCTAATTTTACTGTTAGGTTGGTTAACTAAAAACACACAACCGCGTCGCCCAAACTACAGCTGAGATTAGCTTTCGTTACCGGCTAATAGACCTACAACAACGTTAATCCCCCTCACAGAGGGAAGCTAATGTTAGCTTGCTACCTTAGCACCCTAAGCTCCAGAAAAAAGTGAGCAAGAAACCCACTTGCAGGCGGGTTCGTTTGTCCAACGCTAATTCTGTTCACCTTTAATTTCTCGCTGTTGTAAAATGTATAATAATTGACCAGTTACAAAGAATCTCCGCACATAAACCGTTCCTAGCTACCACCCTAAGTAGCAACTAAGCTAACAGCTAGGGAGCTTAACTTAGGTCAACAAACCGGATTTAGTTCGGCAGCTAGCTAGCCTACGATTTGGTTTAAAAAATAACTCAGTTATTTTCTGACAAAAAGTTACGACATTTGCCCGACAACACTTACCTAAAATCTCGGGTAAGACAAAAACCGCTACCTGCTGACTGGCGATATCTCGTACACTGGGCCGTTCGGTTAATGCACTTAAACATACTTTACACCCATGAAAAACAAACCTTGGCTTTTACAGCGCCATATTTGAATAGGCCAAAGTAATCGGTCACAGAACAGAGCGCAATTTAATAAAGCATTTTATCAATTCTACACTTAATTTTCTAAATCATACGCGCGATGAAGACAATTTTTATTAATTATACATTCAAAGTTAAGGTGAATGTCACGCGGCAAAATATCTAGCATACTTCTGAAATTATGTTGTGTCATTGGTTCTGATATCGATTAGGTAGCCTGCGTTTGGGTTTCCGTTTACGTTCAGCGTATGAGATCGGTTTTATCCTGCGCATTCGCTTCAGGTGTCAGTAGAAATCACCACTATGAAAATCAGTAGGGCACTACTGGACTGTTCACTTAAATAGGTACACTGAAGACCTTTACAAAAAAATTACAACTTTCATTATTATTTTTTTAACTTAACATCTTATATATTTATTGTGTTCTTAGTCATACTCAAATGTTTATGTTAGACATATACATCAGAAGGTCATGTAATGTCATGATTAAACTGCCTTGTTGTTTGTAAATTGATTCAAGAAAGAAGTTAGGCCACGAGTACCTAAAAGTAATGAAGTAAGAGATGCCTTTAGAATTCTGTGGCCTATGCCGAATCTGGTAGCCTAAAACATAAGTTTAAGAAGCTGGATATTAAAGATTATGATTTATGTGATTGCACACTAGTTGCCATGTGTTGTCTCATAACAGTGGTGGAGTGTACATTTACTCAAGTACTGCACTTCAGTATGAATTTGAGGTACTTGTACTTTACTTGAGTTTATTCTTTTCATGCCACTTAATACATCTACTACACTACATTTCAGAGAGAAATGTACTTTTGACTTCACAACATTTTCTAAAAGCTTTAGTTAATAGTTAGGCCTACTTTACAAATTGTGATTTTTACATAATCATAAGAAGAGTTTGTAAAATATGATGTTTTGTTATAAATCAAACTACCCATCAGTTTAGAGAACATCTGAAATTATTAATCAATTAGCTGATTGACTGAGCATTAATTGGCAACTATTTTTGATAAGCATTTAGGCCTATGTTGTTTTCTCATTTATGTTGAAAAAAATTGGTTTTGGGGTGTTTTTGTGTTGTTGTTTTTTATTAGATTTTTCTACATTGGTTACTTTTACAGTAATACTTTAAGTAGCATACATGTTCCTGATTTAGCTACTTACCTTTACTTCAGTAACATTTTTACTTTTAGTACATTTACTTAAGTGAAGGATCTACTTCTGCCACCACTGATTACATAGGCTTCACAAAACATACAGGCATGCATGAATGCTGCTGCATGCTGAACATTCTATAAAGATAAGGGAAGAAAGACTGAGTGAGTGACACAACTACATTTTTCTATGATTTGAAGACAACACAATAGGCAAAGAATTTGTCTTCTTTGTACTAGCATTTGGAAAGTTCCACATAGGCTACATTAAAATTAAATAGAATAACTTGGACACTTAAGTCAAGAGCCATTTGAGAATGGTTCACAGTTAGGCTACTACTACTACTACTACTACTAATAATAATAATAATAATGATAACATCAATAATAATAATGATAATAACAATAATAATGCATGAGATGGTTGTTATTGATGTTTTTATCACATAAAACATAAAACATACTCTCTTATTATATGAACGTGTTGTATGTAGCCTATTCACTGTCCCATTAATAATAACACCTGATATTAATGAACTTTGTTCTGCACACGCGCTCGTTGAATTTCCTGCGTGTTATGAGCTGTGGTTCTGCAGCAGCTGAGCTTGCTGTCATCACACCGACACTAGATGGCGACAGATTCCTTTACTTGTTCAACGACATTTACTGCTGACACTGACACTTGATTCATCAGGAGGTAGTTAATCATCTCATTTTGTTACAGCTGCACGTGACCCCTGGAAAACAACTGCTGCAATGATCTTGTCTTTCGTATTACAAATAATAACAAGGAACAGCTTGTGACTTTAAGAGCCATTTACGACACACAGCAGGATGTTCCAGAGACTTTTGGACTCTTTGATATATGCTTTTGCATCTGCAGGCTTAATGCACTGTACTGCAGGTTTGTGGTTTACTGCGATATTAAGCGTAATCTCATCTCAGTCCACCCTAATATATTGGTACAACAGTAGAGGGAGTACCAGGGGAAGGCCTTTTCGTGCCATGGCTCGTGATTACTTTGAAAAAGGAACTGATTTCGAGAGTGACATTCATGGGATTCACTCTGCTCCTCCTCTTTTAAAACTTCACCCAATACCTGTGTAAATCACTCTGGAGTGGAAAGTGACAGGGTCAGACGAGCAGAGGAGCTGAAGCACAATGGAGGAATCAACCGGCAGATCAATCAAGAAAAAAGTTGTGGTGGTGGGAGGTGGTTTGGTAAGAAAAGAAAATGAAAGTTAATTCTTGATTGTTTGTACTTCTTGCCTTTTGATATCTGGATTATCCTTTATCAAAGCAACTGCCCCCTTTCTTAAAGGGGGACAGTTCTAGAAAGTCTCTTTGGCTGGAAAGAAGAGGACCTTTAATTTTTAGTATGGGAGTCAAATGTGTGTTTAAAACTGTGGGATACAGGATATAAGTTTACAAAAGAGTGTTTAGATAAGGCAATGCAGCCAATATAGTGTTAATATTGTTTATTAAAAACAGTATGACATTGTAAAGGGTATGTGATTTTGGCAAGATTTCCAAAGAGCTGTCTTTATTCCCCTTCATCCATCAGGTTGGGGCGCTGAATGCCTGCTTCTTTGCCAAAAGAGGCTTTGATGTGGAACTCTTTGAAACCCGGGAAGGTAGTATTCAAAGCTCTTTTTAAATCCTACTTTTGTAGGTAAATAACATTTACACTTCACATTTACAGTAATCCTCAACAGTGTTCACACACTGTGAGGGGAGGTTTCAGGGTTAGGTTTGGGAAAAAGATCATAGTTTTGGTTAAAATGAACAGACCTCTGCCAGAATAAGGCAAACCTCTCCCATGTGCCATACACACAGAGGCAAAAAACATTGCTTTGTGGACTGATGACCAAAGTTTCACAAAGGTAAGATTAACGCATTGTGTTTGATTTTGGTTAGATATCCGGAAAGCCAAAGTCGTAAAAGGAAGAAGCATCAACCTGGCTTTGTCTCACAGGGGCCGGCAAGCATTGAAGCATGTTGGAATGGAAGAGAAGGTATGCTGATTAGATAAATTCACTGTTTAACTAATAAAGTGGAAATTACATAAGGTTTCTCTCAGGGCTGCAGGGGCATGGTGACTCTAGCCTGTTTATTTGTCTAAAAGATGGGTATGGGAAGGAACAAAATGGTAGCATATAGGTCGTCCATTATTTGTGCCCTTGTTACCGTATAATTCTTCTTAAACCACACATCATAGACTGAAGGCAAGCTGCTGGAAACCCCGGGCCCCGAAAATCTGTCCACTCTGCTCTCTTTGCTTACAGTCCACTCAAGATGTTTTATTCTGGCATCTGACAGCAGCAATCCTTTTTGTTGGTCCACATTTGCTGCACTGAGCATGTTATACACGCCTGAGAGCTTTGCTTCAAACCCTTTTTCACACTTGTGGGACTTTTCAGCACAACAAAACAAGGCCTGGTTTACAAGGTTTTCACATATATTTTCAAAGGGCAGACACTGTGTGACCACATGGACCAGCTGGACTGTCCATTACACAATACTCTGTTTGCACTTAGACCACGTACAAAGACTGAAAACATGGATTTTGCCCATGCAAAGTATAACAAAATACACAATATTTTATCCTAAATGTTAATATATGTCTTTTTTTTAATTTATTTGAGCTCTGTATTCATGATTTTCCTCAGATTGTCTCCCAGGGGATCCCCATGCATGCAAGAATGATCCATTCCCTGAATGGGAAACAGTCTCCGATCCCTTATGGCAAGAAAGGCCAGGTAAGATAGCAATTTAACATATACGTTATCATGCTAAACACAGAGAGACCCAGGAAATAAATAAACTGACTATCATCCCCTTGCTAATTGCAGGACTACTGTCATTCACAACAGAACTATACATTTTTTATACATCTTTGACGTGAGAACTAGACTAATTATAAGCTCGGAGGTGATCCTGCAACATTCAAACAGGGTTGCTAGTTAGCACTGATAACACATCTAAATAGATCCGAGTGTCATTTGCATGGTTATGCATTATTACTACATCTTGTTGCTTTGACATACTGTCAAAGAACTTCATTAAGATGCTTGGTACATAGATAGTATCTTAATCATATCCTGTATATTGCTGAAAAGAATACCTGACTATGTTTAATTTCCAAGTGTTTGGTTGTTGGTAAACATATTGCGTCATGTAGCCCATACTGAGTCAGACTGTGGATTAAATATTAATTTGCAGCTTGCGAGACCTCACATGCACCAACAGAGGTGTCTTCAGAGGCACACACACACACACACGTCTGCACACATGAGGTTTGTTTGCTGCAGGGACTCAAGGGTGCACCAATTGATGAACAGTACAAGTGACAACATGTGCAGTCGGATTAAAATTTTGTCACAAAGCAGCAGAGCATGGTTCGTCAGTCTGAAAATAGCAGTTTTTAATTACACTGCTGGCAGTTTGGCAGAGAGTCTTAATCTCACGGGGATTTACATGGTAAATAAAACAGAAATATACAACAAAGACAGCAAAAGCATGTAGAGTCATGAATGCTGGGAGAGTATAAACCCCAACGGCTTCCTGTTCCCATTTTTAATAAACAGTTTCTCACTTCTGTTTATGAAGTCATCCTGGTAGAATTTCACTAAATACACATTATTTCCCTTTCAGTTTATCCTGTCAGTACACCGAGCCAATCTGAACAAAGAGCTGCTAACAGGTAAGGACATTCACAGTGTCTGTCTACTACTCAGCCAAAGTAGCGTCGGAGCATTGGTGCTGAACACAGTGTCACAGGATGTCTGCTGAAAACCTCAAATTATAAACAAATTAACAAGACTTTTTCACATTTAAATGAAG